TCGTCACGGGTGCCCAATGCATCTTCAGATAGGCTGGACCACGAAGGATTCATCTATTGCATCCTCAAAATTCTGGGAAAGAAGGCGACATTTCTCAGCTGCATTGGAAGGAGCCTTCAAAATGGGATAACCTTGGTTGCACCGTTGTGACGAAATCGGTCTTCAAATGCAGCTTTCGAAGGCTGCAGCCCCTGAATTGAGACACAGCTTATGTTACTGACATGAATGACTAAGCTCTTTGACAAGAAAGTCAAAGTTAATAATGGTGACTTAAAGCAAAGGCTCTGGCTCTGGGCCTGGGCCCGGTAGGCCCCTTCGGTAATACACCCATGGGTAGAGGGAAAGGTTACTAAGGAGGAAGTGGGTAAATGCCTATATATTCCAATGGCTTTTTGGCTGATAGGTGGGTATACTGTAAATGGCCAGTATACTCTCCACTGCATCACTGTTCATACACTTCTGTCACCACTTTGTTTCTTCTTGGCACGAGAGATAATGTTACTAATTTATACTAGTTAATTTTTTACAATAGATCATTATAATATGTTTATTTCGAAGGCCATCTTGCTGTAAAGTTAAGCTTGCAGCATAACTGTGCAACTACACACACAAGAGTAGCCCAACACCTAATGATTTTTCCTTTAAAGGGAAATTTCGGTTTATTTCAACCTGTCTCCTATCGTCTTAAATTTGTTTCAAGTGACTAGTGACATAAAAATAATAGTTAGCATGTTAACCGTTAGCCTAGATACAGCTGGATACTACTCCAGGTGGAGGTGTCTCATCCTCGGTCACATCCAGACCTTGAAAATAAAGCTGCAACCGGTCCCATTCCTTGCAACAGATGCATTCCTCTTCTGTGGGCACTGGGGCACAGCATTCAAAGGTACACCACCAATCTCCAGAGCTACACAGCCTTGCAGCAGCCATTCCTCCTTTCTCGTCCTCTACCTGTTGCGCCTCTCTCTCTCTCTCTCCTTCTTCCTCTGTTCTTCAATTTCACGAAGCTCTTCGTCAGTGTATTCTGGCTCAAATAAATAAGGGCGGCCATCAAACTCTGCAAAATCAAATTCCTCCTCCACAAAGTCGAAGTCTGGCAAAAAGTCAGCCATTATTCTATAAATCTTTCAAAAAATAAATGAATGAACTTTTCAGGCTACTGTCAAGTTCTGCCTTCCAGCTGTTGCTGCTTGTTCAGGCACGGTATGAGATCGCTGCTTGTTCTCGCGATATTTCGGCCGCGCTTTGGAAAGCAGAGCTAAATGGTAAACAAACATGGCAACACACCGGTAAGGTAAGACAACACGTTTACATGTCGTTTTCTATATGTTCTCTGACATTTATCCTAACAAAATGAGGCGGTCTTTGTGGAAAAAAGCTTGTTTAGTGGACTAACTTTGCACTTGAAGTATGCCCATTCACTTACGTTTTAACAGGTCTGACGCTACTATGCGCCCCGGCTGTATCTAGGCTAACGGCTAACATGCTAACTATTATTTTTATGTCACTAGTCACTTGAAACAAATTTAGGACGATAGGAAACAGGTTGAAATAAACCGAAATTTCCCTTTAACATGTCATCACTCCAAATATGTACAGTTTATATTTTAACTATTTTTCTGTTGTTCTGTTTCATTTGATCTGCAGCAACATCCCTCAAATCAAATTCCTGTATATAAATTGATTCTTGGTCTGCATTCAGACAGACACAGAGCAAAAACAGCCCTCAATGTGTCTTGATTTCAATTTAAGGCGTCTGTCCTCAATGTGAACCGCTCACCTCAGCCTTGGCAGAGCTGCGAACAGATATTACATCGCTGCCAACTTCCTCATTAACCATCATTAGTCTGAACCAGCATAACACTTGCAACTCACTGAGGCTCTCGGCACCTGATAAAGGGCTTCTGTAGAGTAAGCAGCACGAAGCATCGCTGACTCCAATCCCATAACGAACACAGGTAAACATTTAAACAGATTAACAGATCAGATGTGTGGAGGAAAAGTACTTACACCAAGAGACATGTCATGAATGTGTTTCATGTTATTTTCAAGATCCTTTTCTGTGATAAAGTGATAGCAAAGCAAACAAAATATCAGGCAGTGAGTACAGTCAGATATTAAACAAATAAACACAGAAAAAAAAAGTTTAAGAAGGACACATAATTCCTCCTTTAGTCTGACAGTTTCCTAAGTATAAAAAACCCCACAGCCCACCCTGATATTAAAATTTGTCAGGTGATATATTGGATAATGTTTGAAAAAGGAATAAATAACATGCAGAAGCTTCCCCGTGACAAACTGTGTTTTTCTCAATCCATTCTGGCAATCATAATGTGTCACTGAGGGTCTAATTCAAAGTATCCGAGAGTTTGATTAAGTCACAGAACCACAGCTGCTCAGCCTTGATGCTCCTATGCTTTAATGTAGGGCTATTAATCAGCCTATTGTGTGTGTGTGTGTGTGTGTGTGTGTGTGTGTGTGTGATGTTAGAGGAATCGAGTGCCTTAACTAATTCACCATCAAAACCTGTCATATTGCTGATGCTGAAAACGTGGTTTGGATGAAGAAATGGAGTGGGTTTTTGGACAAGATCAGAGTGTGTGTATGTGTGTGTGTGTGTGTGTGTGTGTGTGTGTGTGTGAGAGAGAGAGAGAGAGAGAGGCTGTGGACAAGAGTCAAGGGAATTCAAGCCACTGTTCCAGGAAACACAAAGCTCAAGATCAAGCATCAGTTGTCCCTCAGATGGGCTTGTTGTAATCCAGACCACATCAGACCCTCGTCTTCCATTCTTCCATCCCTCGCACACACTGCTCCCTCTTTCATCCACCTCACCCAACTGCCTCACCCATGTCACCCTCCCCGAGGGTCTGCTTCTGCCCGCCCCCCTGCGGAGCTCACCTCCAAGTGTGTGAGGGAAGAAGCCCCACGAAATCCGATTGCGTTTTAATAAAGTTTATTATCTGCAGGGAGCTAATCCTCAAGGGTAATCTCTCCCCTCTAGTCCCTAAAGGAAAGCTGGATTATTCACTTGCTATAATCCCAATGAAATTGTTAGGATTTAGCTTGCGCTGCACAGCAGATGGCAACAGGCTTTTTCCTTCAACCTTGGATGCTTTAGCCCCCCATTTCTACATGCACCACCCCCGGCCCTCCTTGCCTCGTGGCCTGCTAGTCTTGGTCAAAACAAAAAAACAAAGAGAGGTTTGTTTTTAACAAACCTGCAGTGAATAACATCTGGGAGGTTCTCCAAACATATTTTGGTACTGAGACAATACAGATGTGATCAAGCTTCACCCCTTCTGTAACTTCATGTTATTTGGTAAAAAGAAAGAGTGTGATTGATGGGCCTTTTTTCTCTTTAACTTATCATTAGGAAGTAAATGTTGATTGTATAATGTAATGGCTAGGGAATAATGACACCATTGGTGTTTAGATCGATTCACTATAAGCCTCTCTTTCACCATGCAGTTCTATCTGCCACCAGGTACGACCTCCTGTGAAAATGACGGCTCCATTTACAACACAAAAGAAGTGCGCCAACCATTGCACAACCACCCTATGTGCCTCTTACTGAGTCTCCCAGATGGTCATATTACAAATATCTAACATAAGAGACTCTTCAATCTTTAGACTTTTGCTGCCAGGAGAAATATTCTGCTCATTTGGACCAAGGATGCTGCTCCATCAAAAAAGTTGTGGCACAGTCTTATAATGCAGTGTGTTCCTAGTGAATATATCTCTTGCATGTTTCACTCCTCACACCTTTAATATCGGGAGGAGGAGGAGGAGGAGGAATGGAGGCTGTGATGTTAGTTGAGACAGATACACGTCATCCCATGCTGCTGTGTTGGGAAGACTGGGGCAGTGAAATGCAGAAAAACTGGTGGGCCTAAAGCTGTGATCTGTGTGTAATGTTTCATGCTGTTGAATGTTTTTCACATTTACTGTTTCCATGCATTTCAGACCTGCTTCCGTGCTAGGTAGTCATAGGACAGTAGATTGACATACCAGGTATTTTAAATTTTAGCCATGTAGCTTTTTAACATTTAATCTGTATGTATGTATTTTAATGTTTTGTAATTTTTAAGATTATCTATTTGTATCTCTGCAGAGCATCAGTGGTCCATTAGCTGCTCTTTCTGGTTTTGTTTTGTTTTGTCTTTTTCTTTGTCTAGTCTACCCTGGCACATGAGCTGGATAAGGGCAAAAAGATATGGGTGTTGTCCTTGGGATAGACTACTTTTCTTTCTTTAATTTTTGTTTGTTTTCATCTGCCTGCTTCCCCCACTAATTACCGACTCACTCAGGTTAAACCCAGTCAGACGGTCAGGTCAGGCTTAAGGTGTGCTGTGGCTGAACTGTTTGCAGTGAAGATAATCACACCTGGAAATTATGAAAATGTGTTAACACTTTGAGTGTGAGACGCATTGATTGCAGTGTGCACTGATGTGACATTGGAACTAAAACCCTGCCTTGTAAGTGATAGCTGGGGGGGCGATGCTGAGGAGGGTGAGGTCGAACTTCTATAATTTCCCATAATTTCTTATTCTAGAGACCTGTAGTGGGTGTAACACTAGCTAGCTCAGTGGTACTAGCAGTAGATGCACTCTTCCTTCTGTGCGGTGATACGGTGGGCAGGTGTAGTTTGGTAGAGGGAAAATAGTTCCTTCATGAAACTGCTCACAACAAGGTTTGTGGATTATCTTAAATAAACAGGTCATGATTTCTGGAAAGAAAGGTTGCTGTTGAGTTTTCAGGTGTATTTTTCTGGCACTTTGAGCACCACAAGCTGAGTGTTATCTGGTTTTATTATATTGGAGAGATGGCAACATCTCTATGGACAATATCCATAACACTCGGCAACTCACATCAAAACAATCCAGACTGATAAATAGTCCTACACGTAAGAGGGAAAATATGTATTGTGTCCCTTTCAGAAGACCTGCCTCAACAAATCACAGGTTTCAGTGTCAGATCAGAGAATTGAAAGAAGCACTGAGTCCTTATCAAAAATAATTTTATTGATTCAGACAGAAGCAAAGAAGCAAACAGAAAAACACAGTGTTTTTGAGATGACCAGCCAAAGCTCTCCGTCATGGACACAAGCCAAAAACAAATCCTGCTTATTCTTAAACCTTGTCCAGTGTGAACATATGCGTTGCTCCACAACACTTCATAAACAACCAGAGTAATTGTTATGTGGACTCAGCAGTGTGATGTAATAATCAAAGAGGTGACATAACCCTCAGTGTGATGTACAGTAAGCCACCTCAAAAGGAGCTGAACAACAGAAGGCTGATCCGCTCTTCTCTGGTGAAAGTTAGTATGGACCTGCTGGTCCTGTCACAGTATGTAATAATATGATGCAACAGTTGAGCCTACAACAAATGGTAAAACCCCACAAAGCATTAAGACCCGGGGCTGTTTTTACAATCTGACTATTTAATGAAATGCAGAAACATCTCACTTAATAATTAAAACACAAAAATCTCATTGATTGGAGGGAAAAACAGTCCATCTGTAATTTAAGATACAACAGAACATTTTTTAAAATCAAAGAATAACCTATCTGAGTATTTAATTCAAATGATTCAAATATTTTTTATATGTAAATATATAAAAAATGTATTTTTTTTTTGGCATAGTACACAGTGAAGCAGCGTAGGTCTTTGCCTACTGTGAGATTAAAAAAAAAAAAAAAATCAGACTGCTACAAATGACCATAACTTGCGTAAAGCAACAAAAATCCCAACAAAAAAGTTAGTTGCATTTACTTAATCTAAATTTAAAAAAAAATCTCATACTGGGTTCAATTTCAGCCTTCATAACTGGTCAAACAAAAATCAGAAATGAATTATCCTTAACTCAGGCGCAAACCTCAAACCCACACAAAGGAACCCACTGATGGAAACATACATCTATACGTACAGATTTTCCACAGTTAAGGCGCTGCCTGAAAAGCTCTGGAGGCCAGATTAAGTGTAAGGTTAGATAATTTACACAATTTTCAAATATTTGGAAGGTAATCTGCTAATTCTCCCTTCTCTTCCTCTCCAGTTAGACACCACAACATTCAGGGTAAAACACGCTGTTGCCTACTTTGGCCGTAGGTAACAGATAAGTGAACCACCTAAGATTGCCCTAATCTCGACACATCCCCTTACACTAACCCAACCTTAGCCTACATGAACCTAATGAATGTTAATTATTGCTGCCTCTCTACAAATTTGGATACACTTTGGTTCAGGGTAGGGAAACTTTAGCCCGCCGTAGCCTGAGGCGGTTTTTAAAGAAAAGGTACATGGCCAGGAGACACATGGAGGAAAGGAAGTAAAGGATGACACACAGGCTGATGTCCACTTTGGAGAATCCGATGCTCAGCACAGACATCCAGCGTCCTCTGCGGCTCAATTCGGCCTCCTCAATAAAGTACTGACCAGACAGTTCCCGCTTCTGCAGCTGCTTCCTTTGCCGCTCCACATCCATGTCAAAGTCTGCCTCCATAGGCTGCAGGCCCACCATCCCGAGCCCCGCGTCCAGTTCCATGCCGAGCCCGAACACAGGCCCGGGCTCCTGCTCCTCCTTCCTCTGCAGGGTGCGCTGTTTGACCCTGCTGGAGGCAGCCACCCGCAGCGCCTTGGCCTTGTAGTGCTGGTTGACGAATGAGTCGAGATCCACGATGTCCTCCTGCAGCTCTCGCATCCTCATCCCCACGATGCTCGGCTTCCTGTGGGGCTGCCGCCGGCCTCGACCCACTTCCATTTGGGGTTTGGCCCACGGTGTCGTCTCAGATGTCTTACCTGCGATCTCAGCTGCTGCTGCCGCTCCTTCCCTGCCTTCCTCCTCTTCATCTGCTTCATCCTGCGGCCCCTCTTCCTCCTCCTCTTCCTCCTCTTCTTGCACAGTGGGTTGCGATGGCAGAGGGTGTGTCATGGAGTCCAAGGCCTCCCTGGCTTTCCTCTGTGAATGTTTCTGATCTTCTAAAGCTTGCTGCTGTCTCACAAGTTTTTCCCTTTGTTTTTCCAGGATCTCACTTTCATCTTCAAGGTAGTCTGACAGGGCAAGAAAAGAAAAACACGGGTGAATGATTTCTAAAGTCACAGAATCAAATGCTTTATCATCATCCTTAGTTTATTTGAATCAATGGTAAACCTTTAATTCAGCTCAGATATTCTTTCTTTAAAACTGAAGTGTGACAGCAAAAAGCTTATACATACTGAAAGAAAACTACTGATGAAAACACTAGATTTGATATGATTTATAGAATAAATGCTTTTAATTTGACAGAGTTTAGCAAACTCAAATTAAGTATGACACTTAACACATTAGAAATGACTGAAAGATGTACTGTAATATGAATATGGGAGTTTTAGGGTGACAGTGGGATTACCTACACTCTTTGTTGCCTTGTAACCTTTTTTGTCTTCTTTGTTCATTGGGGTTACTGTTGGTATGTATCTCCCTTGCTTCTTTAGCACTATGTTAAACACACTTGAGTTGCTACAGTAGAGCCACGCCCCCTTTTTTAACAAGCATGGCCTATGAGGCAAGGAAGAAGTGAAAGGCAAATTTTATTCTATTAATCATATTGTTAAAAAGTACATAATTTGTGTTTAAACTGTGTTCAAAGTACACATGAGATGTAATATGACTTATACATGTCAAAAAAATCACATGAAAGATATTAAATGTGTGTCCACTGGATTGGACAGTGAATCTGTGTGTCAGTGGAAAATGAAAAGGAAAATGCTGTTCTGAATTGATTTTCTAGAGATAGAGACAGCTTATAATACATTTTACATGGAATATTCTATTCTGTATGATATTCTATATCAAGAGGTTTCCAATGTACTGTTTTCTGGAGAAACTTAAGAAATTAAGGATATTTTGAGACATGATGACAAATACAATACAAAATATATATGAAATGTGTATTGAAGCATCACTTTATTCATTGATATGACTTACCAATTCATAAATAATAAATAATCTCATGTTTTTTGCTAAAGAAAAAAGGCCTGTTAAGACCATTTATTGTCATTTGTAGAATTCTGTGATTTCTGCGTTAAGATTTTTTTATCCATTGGAATGGATAGAAAAAAAAAACAAACAAACAACGACATAATTAAGTCTCCTAATCAGATTTTTTCCTGCTAACTAAAAATCCACCATTACAATACTTTTTGGGTGTTTGGAACATTATTGGCTTCTGAACGGGTTAAATAATTAAATGTATGGGATATGAGGTCTTCAGAAAAGATACTATGGCGTTAACCTGTACCTGTGAGGATGCTGCTGGATGAGAAGTAGGACATGAGGAAAGGGAGAATGTTCTCCTGGCTCCACTTGTGATCCCCATTGTCCTTCACCATATGGCAGGCTGGACACATTTCTGGTGAAGGCCACTGGATCTTTGGGAAGTTGGGGTCTTCACTCAAAGCACCTGCAGACATAAACACAGAAGTAGACTTACTGTATTGTACATCACTTTATTTATTTTTTTAAATTTTTGTGTCATGCCAGACATTTAGCCCAACCTACATAGCATTAGGAGACACCATTAATTTATAGACATGCAAGAAAAACACAGTTTTCTTCCCAAATTCAACATCAGGTAGAGTGAGTAACTGATAACACTAATGATCATTTTGTGGGTTAAGTATTCCTTTAAGTAAACTGGCTGCCAGTATTCTTTTTAAGTATATTTTTGAATGCAGGAATTTAAGTAAAGAAGCATATTTCCTTAGTACTTCACTAACTTATAAAATACAACATACAAGGTCAGAAAAAGGTTACAGGGGATCAGATTCATTGTCACATACAGGAATCACACACCATAAAGCGCTCTAGTCAGCTGCTTCATCCATTGTTGTTTCTTTTATTCTCCTTGTTGGTGCATTGACTTGAAGATGTAAGTGCTCTGAGGACTGGATGCAATCTGTGTTGAACCCATTTGATCTTGTCACAGTGCTCGTAAAGACTAAGTGCCTATATGCATATGTGTATGTATGTGTTTAAGTGTGTATATGTAAATCATCTGTCTGTGTTTGTGTGCATGTAATCTAGGGATTGATATTTGTGTGTATGTGTGTGTATGTGTGTGTGAGAGAGAGTGTATGACAGGGTCTAACAATGATCAATGGGCTTCTGGGATGTCCCAGTGGGAGGGGTGGTGAGATAATAGATGTGGCCAAAGTGGACAGCTTCTCCACATGTACACACACAGACACCCACACACCCACACCCACACACACACACACACACACACACACACACACACAAACACACAGCTGTTTTCAGGCAGCAGACCTCGGTGCTCTGGACCACCTGTCTTGTCCCTTCACACCCCTTTGAAAGCAAAGTCCAATCTCCAAATTGAACATGAGAGCAAAAGAAACCCCAGAGGGGAGCTGCTCTTCTAATGAATTAGAAACTTTCTCCTTTAACATGTTTTCTTTCATGTAGCCACTGCCCACTAACACCCCTCTTCACTCACACACAACACGGTATCCATGCAAACAGACTGGCAGAGGAAAAGGTACAAAAAATACTCACGCACAACAGACACACTCTGCACAAATGCCCACAAGGACACACACACAGGGCAGCATCTAGTAATAAATTGCTTGTTGTCACCAACAGGCCATTGTGTGTGTGTGTATGTGTGTGTGAAAAGAAGGAAAAAAAGCAGAGCAGCAGCAGCAGCAGGTCTGTCACTTTACAGCACTGTCAATTTACATCCTCCACCACCTCCGTCCCGCTCCCTCCTCCTCCTCCTCTCCGCCGCTCAAGATTAATCTCAGTCATATGCATGTGTGTATGTACTCTGCATACAGTACTTTACATAAAGGATACATCAATTTTACTGTGTCCTGGATGGGCTGCAGCATGTGGGTGCTTTTATACATTTCAGCAGGTGAGAGCACACACATATGTACACACACACACACACCCACACACACACGCCACAGATGCCTCAGATCTCTTTCCTTATTCTAATCAGCTTGCCACGTTTGCGGCCAGGGTGACTTTAGCCATACCAGCCATATTGAGATTGCCACAATGGCCTGTCACGGAGATGTCATCACCGCCGTGCATACATATTCATCAGGTATAAATATGTATTGTTCAGCACGTCAAACTAGCTTCCTCAGCACTAATTCTGTAAGTGAGGATCAGCTACACCGCACGGCACACTGAGCCATCATGGCTGCTGGGGAGAGCTCATGATGTCAGACATTTTATGCTCATTAAAATAATCGAGACAAAACCTTAACTAGGAATTCTGTTTAATGTATGACAGATCTAACACTTGGGTGGGCCTCAATAGTTTTATCAATACTGACTTTAATGTGTCTCGAGCACACATTAAAACATACAGTACATATAACTGAAAACTGAACATTAAATCACAGTTACAAACTAGGGCTGGAACCATGTTACATTTTCACTACACAATTATCGCGGCCAGAAGAGTTCATAATAATGATATCACCGCAATATCTCTAAGATAAGAATTCACTTTATTATAAGAAAAAAATGTGAAATTTGTCTTGTGTCCCAGGACGTCAACTGTTTCACCTAAATACACAATAAAGAATAAATAACATTTAACCAAACAACAAAACCACACTATCTGTCACAGAGACAGAGTCTGTCACTAATACTGTACAAAAGTGTACAAAAAGAGCAGTTAAACTCAATGGATAGTGAAAAGGCAATCAAATGGCAATCTGGGAGGGATGCAGCAGGAACGGAAAGAAACTGATTTATTTAAGAGGCGCTGATTATTATTATACATTATAATACATGTATTATTGTTTCATTTTTAATATCGTGATTAGTATGACACCCCTATCACAATATTTCAGGAATGATACAATTGAGTCCCAGACTAATTTCCATATAAACAAAGAGAGGCTGTCTGCATGCTGAAATCGGCACGCTCCCAGAATATTGCACAACGATGCAACTAGGGTTGCAACGATATGAGATTTTCACAGTATGATAACCGCCTCAGAAAATATTGAGGTTTCACAGTATCACGGTGTTACAGAATTTGCATTATTATCAGTCAGAATGGCTCTCAAAGGAATGAAAATGGAAGGGTTATTGTTGGTTGGAAAATTGTTTTATCACTGTAATTGAAACGTGAAACCACTGTGTTAATGGTAGTATGTGTAAAAAGTCTCCTCTTAGAAAATAACTCAAATAAAGGTCAGAGTTTTCCATCCATGCATTTTTTTTTCAATATCGTAGATAAGTAACTGTACACTGTACAGTTTACCTTCAAACCGTTACATCGCTGCAACCCTAGAGGAAACATTTCGACCTACAGGTAACTTGTTTTAAGTCCCAGCACAACAGAAAACAAAGGAACAGATTGCCATCTGGGCACTGAACACGACATTGAGATCATCGAGGCTCTGTTGTTACAATTAAATATTATGGACCACATTGTGCTGCATTTTTACAGCTCTATCCTTTAAGGGTAACCATCCAGCTGTTGGAACTGCTGTTTCCCATCATGTGTCACTGACTTCAAGCCTAATGTAACCCTACCTGTAGTTTGTCCTTCTTGTCTCCTTGAACAGTTAGTTCATGATTTAAGTCAAAACTGTAATAGTTTAATACTACTTTATTTAGTCAGATTTCTTATATGGCTGTTTGCATACGGACAATATTTAAAGTTTAAATGAAAAATAAATCTGCTTATCTTTCTTGAGGTTTGTTCCATATCATTTTGTTCATAAAGCAACATGCATGGCTGACAATAAGTGTAACACTTCTGCTGGTTCGTTTCCAAAAATGGGAATTATGTTAATATGGAAGTGTTGTGGTTATAAAAGGTGAGACCTACAGTGCAAGAAGACGGTAAAGGCAAAAGGGGACAACACAAACCTATTATGACAAAACATTATGAAAACAACAGGGCAAACAGCAATTAATACAGTTCTTTTGTTTTATTTTAAATGATATAATTATCACAAAAGCCATCTGCATATAGCAATAATATTTTAAGGTTATGTAATCCACCCCTGTATTAGCACGAAATACTCAGGTGCCATTTTGGCACTAGCAGTGGTGTCGGGGTAGTTGATGAGGAGGGTGTACTACTCTGTGGGTGGGTTACTTGGGAGAAAGTGGGTATACTCTCCTATATATTCTAGCAGCTTTTTGGCTGACAGGTGAGTGTACGGTTAACAGCCAGAAAATAAGGTGGGTACACCATGTATACCTGCGTACACCCTCCACTACACCACTGGACAATAGAATTAAAATATTTCAAAGGATACACAGTCTAATAAATCCCAGTATGTTATGTTATCCTGCATGAAGAAATGCACAAACCCTGCTCTGCATGTGAACACTCAGTCCTGAAGGCAGTCTGGCCTGCTGCTGTTAGTCTGTAGAAATGTGAATCAGTCTCAGCCTGTTGACAAGCAGCAACAGGACTGAGCTGCCACTGGTCTTAATTCTGCTGCTACGAGGAGGCCGAGGGCCCTGGGGCCTCTTTGTTGCCAGCTAAATTAATTGTTCGGCTGCTTTACAAATAGCTGCTCTTTCATGCTTGGCTGCTCCTGAAAGGAGGGGTGGGGAGGCCTGCTAAAGAGCTCCACTTTAGGCAAAGGCGAGAGGAGGGGTTGAGTGGATGGAGGGATGGAGTGTGCTCTCCTCAGGGAGACGCCGCTACTCATTGCTACAAACACAAGCCAAACCCCCGTCTCCTCCCTCTCTCTCTCTCTCTCTCTCTCTCTCCTTCCGATTCACCCGACTTATCCCCTGTGGACCCTGACTCACCCTCCACCATGACTAACTCCCCCGCCACACGCCACAACTTGACCCATGCTTGGGAAGGCTGTGTGTGTGTGTGTGTGTGTGTGTGTGTGTGTTTGTTTGGGATGGGGAGGGAAGGGGGAGCGTGTGTGGCTTGTGTCATGGTGTTTGCCACCTGCTGTCACACAATACCTTGGGAATTGTGTGTGTGTGTGTGTGTGTGTGTGTGGGCAAGAAGAGGACTAGTTCCTGGGGGACCCATCCTGCAAGGATGCTGTGCCATTACTTGTCAAGCGCAGGATATGAGTCCCAGGGGACGGTGAGTGGAAAGAGAGAAAGACCGCAGCAGAGATAGAGGAAGAGAGGGAAGACGGATGGATGAAGGTGGCGGGTTGAATAGTGTTTAAGTGTCTGGGGGGCAGACACACGCAGGGACGGGTGTCCTTCTGGCCCCTGCTGTTCAGAACACAAGCTGTCCCTGAGAGAGAAGAGGGGGCAATCAACACAAACAAAAGATAGTGATTTAACAAAGTGGGCTGTTAATGACATTCCTGTGCCTAATAAAATCATATGAACACAGACAAGGGAGGAGGGATGCTTAGGAGCTGTTTAATACTCCCGAGCGAATGTGCAGAAGTGTGATATGCTCATACAGCACGGTCAAAAAAGAGAGAAAATGTATATTTATATGCTTATCTGTGTACAGCCTACTAAAAGTGAATAAGTGGGTAATTATGCTGTGTTTAAATGGATGACCTGGATAAAAATTTGTAGTCATACATTCCTCAAAGACACAAATCCTACAGTGGAGAGTAGGGGTGGAGTCTGGGATACAGACCTACGAGGACAAGGTGAAAGGGCAGGATTTAGGGAAATGCATCTAGAGAAGATATGAATGAGACACGGTTGGCGACTGATGAGGCGACCGTGGGAGGACAGTGGGGTGTGGGAGAGAATCAAAGGGTGTGGAGAAGGATGGAGGATGGCAGTGGGGGTCAAGAGAAAATGGGTGAGGCAGAGGCAGATGATACTTGGAGGACTAAGACGGGGTGACAGCTGGTGTCTGATCTCAGGATCCATCCACCCCTCACCCTCTTAGTCGTATTATAAAAACGACTAACTGACCATGAGTGGAAACTGGAACTGAAGATCTTGCCCCAAAACTGAGTTAAGTAATGCTTAAGGTGTGGATGTGTAGATGCAGCTAAGAGGAGTGTGGAAAGAGGAAAGAAGGAAAAAGTAGGAGGGACATGGATGGCTTAGCACAGTAAGGTGTGCAACATGGACTTCGATTAGCTTCGCAGCACTCTTTTTTAATCAACAGGTCAGTTGTTGGCGTGAGGGGGGGAAGAGAAGGGGGACAACATACAGCAAAGAACCGTAGGTTATATTCGCTAAGCCACCCCCACTTTTGGAACATTTAAATCCTCTCCCCGCCCACATAGTTTATTTTACCCAGAAATCCATCACAAAAATGGAAGCTTAAGATGCTGTGACAGCTGCCTCACTGAAATTTTAAGGAAACTTCCAATAAAAGAAACTTTACGACAGCTGTAACTGAAATAACAGAAAGGAGAATGACGTCTAGTGTGCACCAAAGGGATTCTGCAAGCTGGTGACAGACGATCACACTGACTCCTACCTGCCAGTCTGCTGTTGACTTGATTGTGTCTGGACCAAAGCCACAGGACCGCTGACGACCATGTGTTCACCTCCACCAGACTCTCCCTCGCCATGGACTCAAAGTGCTCAGCACACGCCCTGCAGCCAAAGAAGTTGTGGACGTAGTTTCTCATCGCATTCAGCACCTCCTGGGAATCTAGAGAAGGATGACATTTTGTGATGAAAATTAATTTCGAGAACATTTAAATGTGCTATGTATGTCAAAATAAAAACAATATCACAAACTCCATCTTAACACCAAATTTTGTTCTGAGTCAAGATGTTACGCAGTTAAAAAACCTAAACACTGACTTTTGGTTTCACGTGGGATACGAACATCATTCTCTGGGTAAAAGTCCTATGTTTGTTTGACTCATCCACTCACCCCTTCCTGCCACCCTACTCAAGACTTGCCGCAGAGGGGTTTACACTGGAGTTAGCTGAAAGCTTGGTTTGTCTAATACAGACACTAAAGGGCGTCAGAATCTGACGCTGACCTAGGGAATGAGAACGGGCTATGCCCCAATATTGTTACTTTATATGTTTTGTGGGTAATATCTTTAGTAATATGCTACAAAACTAGAATTACCACTTCATTGTTGTATGCCTGAGCATGCAAGTCAAGTTGCAGTTCCAATTTACATCCATGTCTGTGAAAACATGGATGCTTCACACACATTTTCCCCCCAACAGCACAGGAGTTCCAAACAATTTCAGTTTCAAGATGGCCACCCAAGATTAGTGTCACCAATTCAGTATCTAACCAAACGTTTTCCCTTCTGTTCCTGAGATATGACTTTGAGTAATGGCCAGAAGTGTTTTTGCAGAAAACTATGATGTCACAGAGAAGCTGACCTTTGACCTTTTGGATGTTAAATATCATTACTATCATTACATCCTATTAGACATTTGTGTGAAGTTTTGTCATAATTAGCATATGAATTCTTGTGTTATGGCCCAAAGGCCAAAACATGTTTTGAAAGGACACAGCGACCTTTGGCCACCAATATTGAATTACTTGTCCAAGTGGACGTTTGTGACAAATATGAAGAATTCTTCAGATATTATGTTCATGATAATGCCTCTGGCCAGAGAAAGGCATAAAAACGGTGGTTAATGCTGTTACAAAAAAACCAGCATGTTTAAATGAATATCATGGATTACCTCCTCTTCACAAGTAGAAACCAGTCATTTTTTCTTTTATAAAGCACAATCACCTGCTCTTACAATGCTGGTTGTCTCTATACATTAACCTGCTTGCTAATGGCAGTGTGGGTCCACAGCTTCCTGGATTCCCACGGTTATGTGGGCCAGGAGTCACAGAGAGCTGGGTTAACCCCACATTGTGATGAATTATCTATGCGAATGGATAACCCAATCTGGAGATTAAATACAGTTAACCCTCTGTGTGAATGGTGGCTGTGCTGTTGTCTCAGGACTTTAACAGTCCACAAACATATTGTCCTGGAGCTGTTTGACTTTGTTCTCGGCTTAACAGGACCTTCAGATGAACCGTACTGACAGTTGGAGTGTGTGTGTGTGCTCTTTATGAAAGTAAGGATGGGCTGGTGTTTAAACCTTTACTAATGTGTTCACACCTTTAATAATCTGTGTATTGTGTAAATGGTTTTATGTTATGGTCAATACTGTACAGTATGTTTGTGTATCCATCCATTAAGTTGGTGGTCTGTGGGGGGCCAGATGGACGCCCCTTTTGACCAGTCCATCTGCAGGTCACATGATCGTCCGTAAACCTCAGGATTAACCTCTGTGTGTGTGTGTGTGTGTGTGTGTGTGTCTGTTGAAGGGAGATTAACGTCTCTGCCAGGAGTGGAGCCTCTGGTCATCTGCCTGTTTTATTAACCACTCACATTCCACTAATCTAACTTAATCCCTTTTCACACAGTCACAATTAGGCTCAATTTTGTTTATGACAATGACAAAAAAAGGAAAGCAGGGAAGAGAAGAAGAAAGAAATCTGGTGAAGACTTTTCTGAAATATTTGTTTGTTTTTCTGTGTTAAATCTTGTCTCTGTGTGATGTTAAATCAGGTCAGTGTGGAAAAAAATGGATCAAACATTCCTGAGCTAATTTGTTTACAAAGCCTCACAAAGCCCTCATCCTCAGTCTGCCCCTGTCTTTGTGAACTTTCAGTGGCCGTTTTCATTCAAAGCAAGACAATCTGTGTGTGTGTGTGTGTGTGTGTGTGTACCTCTGCCTGTCCCAGCGTTCTTAGCCTGGACAGTGAGGACATGGAAGAGAGTCCACATCCCACAAGGATAACGTCTCAGGTGGGGTTGTGAACCCTGACAGCCCACCCACCTCACTCCATCAGGCAGGGCAGCATCTAGAGACTGAGGGCGAGAGAAAGAAAGAAAACAGACAAACAGATAACCCTCAAATGGGAAGCAGCAAACAAAGTAAATAGCTTAAAGGATCAGTCTGGTTATAGTCTATATTCCTCCTATTGTCAACAAATCCCCCAAGAAGACCAAAACCAAAACCAACAACCAACAACCTGATCCCATAACAAGTACTATCGGCGTAACCAAAGTCTGATTCTGTTAATGTTTTTGTTTTATGTCTCCATTGCAGACAAAAAAACTCTCAACCCTGCACTCTGGCACCAACATCTTTCTTTTAAGTGAAAACAGCCCTGGTTGGGAACCACTGTGAACCATATACAGATGAAAATATAACAAATAAATGATTTAATCCTTTTTGAGTTTGAATGTTGTTGAATGATTGTTTCAGGAAATTTAGCCTTTACTTAAAATATAAGTACACACAACAAATTTTATGACATCCTCAGTGGGACTGAATGTCTATGTGCCTCAGAGAAAGTAGGGAAGTTGAAAAGCACTAAGTGCTGGACTAACTAGCATTGATGGTTTTGGTCTTTTCATGGGATTTGTTGACAAATCCCCTTGTAGTCAAGACCATCTTATTTTGCTGATGCCTATCACTGCCTGCAGATACCGCTGGAAGAGGGAGAAGGGGCTGGTTTGTCTCAGCCAGCAGCCAAGTTTACAAGAATTTGCCAATTTTAAGACACACAGCGTACAAAGACTACAGACATGTACAGAGACCCTGCATTGACTGCTTTGGCCTGTTGCTGAAATAAGTGTGTGTAACATTTCACTATTAGTCGAGTGCTTGTGTGCTTTTGTAAAATGCAGTGGCGTTGGACGAAAGACTGCAGACTGAGATGACTGAAATAGCCCAAGACCGTCCAACAAAGCACAAGAACAAGACAAGTGCAAGACTTAAAAAAACGTGTGATCAAGACTGGACTCAAGTATTACAGCCCTGGATGCCACTGTGGTAAAAACAACTGGGTCACTTTCCGTTTCCTCAGAGCCCAGCAACTACCAACAACACATGATACACTGCATTTTGTTTTCCACAGCTACTTCTGTTGCTCCACAGTCCGCCATTTTCACTACTTGGGAAAGTAACTACAAAGAACTTCTACTAATCTGCTTTGGTAACAGGAGATAGCTACCGGGAGTTACCAGGGAAAACAAACGCGCTATCCTCTTCCTGTTGTGGTTGTGCAATCATTGAGGTACTTCGTTCAAGCCTTGATTTTGCCAGGAGATTGAACCCGGTGGCAGACAGAACTGCATAGTGAAAGTGAAGCTTATAGGGAACCAGTATGAACGCTGATAGTATCATTATACTATGGCAATCAACATTTACTTCATAATGATAAGTTTAAGCAAAAAACAAGCCTAATTCCACTTTGAATGAGACCAAATTCCAAAGATTCCCTAAAAAGTGGAGCCTCTTCAGCATCTCCTAACCTGTTCAACTTAATAAAAGCTGTTCCACATAGTTTTCTTGATCAATAAGAAGTCAATCTCAGGTTAATGGCTCAGCCCTCCACTAATGAACAGAAGCTATCCAGATCTCTAACCACGAGCCACAGTTGAATCCAATAACATATTTTCTCTGACATAAAGTCGTTTCGCTCGCCGCACTGCATCGCCATCGCTGCCGTGATTGACAGGGTTACTCACATGTCAATAGTAAAGATTTGGTATGTGAGTGTGTGTGTGTACAGAGTCCATTTCCTCTGAGGACGAAGTCTATTCATACCTTCCCATTGATTCATTGATCAATTGATTTGCCTGCTAAAAGCTAATGATGTAAGTAAGTGACTCTTTCAATTTGTGAGGGGCGGTACTGGAGGCATGCAGGCTTCATTCCAAAGACAACAGCACATAGATCCTCAGCTGTATGTGCTGGCACCGAGACAAGGGCAAAGTACATATTGAAATATCTGGATATTTATAAAATATCTTTTTACCTACTCTATCTTAATTTACAAGATGACAGTTTAACATTTCTTTGAAACAGTAGGCATCACTTTGGTGCCTCTGAGGTGGTTCTGAACTCATTATGTGTCCAGACTGACAGGTGACCTTGATATCTCGGTGTAATGAAGAGGCTACTCCCAGACGGACGTGCTCACATCAGTCTGGGTGCATTTTGTGATGCCCTACCCTCTGTTCTCCCTGCAGCTGCTTACCTGTCTGCTCCTCTCTTCCTCTCCCTTTAAGATGCCCGCCTGCTCAGGCTCACAAAAGTATGTTCTTTCTCTCAATTTGCATTAATGTGCTTCCTCGATGCAGCATGTAATGGACAGACCACTTCTGAATCAAATGAATACCAAAGATGGAAGACAGGCTTAAAAAGTTAACTAAGCGTACTTTAGATGTCGGCTTGACTGACAATAATGAGCCCAAGTTCATATTAATATTGATGCATAAGGTCAAAACATATTGGATCTTTAGCTACACAGCTTTGTTTTGACTCACCTGAGTTGTGTTATCCAGCATCTGTCTGAATGCCTCATAGGTTATCTTTTCGCCAGTGTAGTTCTGTAGCTGAGCGTGGACAGACCTCAAGAGGTTCATCACCACTGGACGGCCTGGAAAGTACTGTGGACATAAACAACAGGGCACAATGGAAATAGGTGTTAAATGTTGATTTTGGAGCAGGTGAGAAGCAACAAGGAATGCAACTGACCTTTTATTTTTTTTTTATTAATCTGTTCGACATTTAGTCTGAAAAAAGGTGAGAAATACCCATCACATTTTCCCAGGAACCAAAGTGACATCATCAGACTGCTTGTTTTGTGCAACTGACAGCTCAAAACCAAAAAGTGTTCAATTTTCTATCACATTGGAGAAGAAATCTGCCACAGTATAGAGATGAAATGGTTGCCGATTTTATGATAGACCATGGTAAAATTACCTATGGACTAGTACTGCTGTTTCAAAATTCAATAATCATTAAAACTGTGTTTGATTACGGTGCTTTGAAAAACTCACGATAAATACTGTCCAGCATCAACCAAAGTCCAACAGTCTCCTGGATGCACTGTCACAAGGTGCTATCTTTAATGTTATGATGATATGGTTTTCACGTGTCTTGCATAAAGTTTTGGCTGTGTTGTTTTCATACTTATCTAAACAAAGTGTTCTTAATTTTATTAGTGGTTTTCAATTTTTAACAACATCAGCACATTTAAACAATACTGCAACAATACTGATAATAGTAATGATTTAGCTCACTATTACTGTGATATTTTTATGCCATTTCATCTCTTACTGAGTAACTGATTAATCAACTAATTGTTTTAGCTGTAAGTGCAAGTATAGTTTATTGAGAAGAAACCAAAAATCCTGCACACTGTCAGTTACTTTTAATCACTTCCTTCAATTGTGATATTTCTATAGGTAGATTACTGTTAGATTTATTCATTCAGTATAGTTTATAAAATCTAAATAAAGTTACAGCTCTGATATTAATGGCATGTTTTAGTCAACACTAGCGTTACAGTGATAAATATACCATGGACTAAAAACAGATGGTTATCCTACTAAGTACATGTGCTTATCTGAAGTATCGAAAAGTATTGCAGCCAGACAGAGAATCTCACCTGTGCATCTCCTTTTCTCCTCCAATGCCTGTCAGACTTTTTATATAAACTTCCTTTACAAAATGGTCCCAAGTTTCACTTCTAATAAAAAAAAAAACTTCCCTTTTCATTCCTTTAAGGGTCACTGTAACTGATACTACTACCACTACTACTACTAATAATAATAATAGCTGTGTCATACTGTATACATGAGGCCATAAAATCATGCTAATTTCTGTGACAGTAGTCTTACTGTCAGAATCTCATATCATTACAACCCTAGTCAGTATACAAAACTCTAAATGTTAAAAGTTTTCACCACATATCAGCTTTAAAATGTAGACTGTTCATGTTGTCATGTATATATCTTTTATTTATAAAAGCTTTATGACTGTTATTTTCCATGTGCTAATATTGATACTTTCACACTCCCTTGTCTGACATGAATTGTTCAGATCAACATATTCACCTTTGATTAACATAATTTTTGTCCTTCTGTTACACATGATATACCAAGCAGAAATGTGATGCCTAGGTTGTCAGTTAACAAACTCACCCTCAACTATGTTGTGCAAACGTTTTATGTGCTGCACAGAAGTTGTGGTTTGAGTGTTTTTCCTCTAAAGAAACTCACTACATGTGACAGCAGCCGAACTTAAGCCTCTTCCTTCATTAAGATCCATTTCCTAAGCCACAAACAACCACTTAGCCAATGTCTACTCAGTGCTTCCTCCTGATGTGTATTTACATCCTTTCAAACCAGTACCACCATAGTAACAACCACAACTAGAGGAAACATGATACTGTAACTAGCAGAGGTAGGTACACGAAGAGAAGGAGGAAATCCAGCTGATGGAAGTCTGAGACCAGTGATGACAGAGTGAAGACAGATACAGACAAACGTGTCTTCACACATAAGGTACCAACAATAGAAACAGCTGATGTCTTCAGAAAAGAGCACTTTTATAAATTTCAGCTAAATGTGCTTTCTATTCTTACTGTAAGCCTCTCTGTGGAACACTTTATGGTAATGGTCCCATTTCTCAGAAACAGGCACAGCAAAGGGATCAAGCTTTTATTCAAGACCTAAACATCAGGCAAATAGACGACTTCCATGGTAACTTTCATTTGGGTCTAAAACTACAGTAAAGGATTTTCATTAGGGAATGATCAGCAATTTTCTTTCAAGTAATTGAATAATCATTAATCTATAAAATGTCAGAAAACACAATTCCAGTTATAATTCCCCAAATTTCTAGGTGACATCTTCAAATGTCTTTTTTAGTCAGACCAACAGCCCAAACAAACAAACAAAAAAAAAGGTAATCAGTTTATCATGATGTATGATAAAAGGGCATCAAATCTGCACATCTAAGAAGCTGCATTCTTTGGTATTCTTGCTTAAAAAATTACTAAAACCATTATTTAATTTAAAAAATAGTTGCCAAGTTACTTTCTGTCAATGAACTAAGACTAACAGAGTGATTGTTACAGCTCTACTTTAGTTGTTTTTAATGAAAATAACATGGTAAAAGCATTACTCAATTATTTTTCTAATCAAAGCTCTTGTAAAAGTGTATAGGGACTAAAGATTTCTATAAAGTTGTGGTGAATCTGAGAGACAAAGAAAGCAGAACTTGCGTCATCCAACATGTGGACCTTTTTCGATTTGCATCACTGAGTCCTTTTAACTTGGCCTCCACCATTTGTCCAACTAAATACACCTGCATACACTGGCAATCTTGCACACACACACGACTTTCAGTCGGCGGCTCAGCCGTCTATTCATCGCCCTCTAACAAGATCTGTGTGTTACACCCTGACCACTTAACCAGACCCCCAGTGATTTGCTTAAACCTTCTTGTCCAAGGCCAACAGAGTCCTGCTCTGTCCTGCGTCCTTCCATCTGCCCCAGAGTGCCCATGACTCCATGCAGCGCCTTTCACCTTTCATCAACTTGGCCTGCAGAAAACTGTGTCGCTGTGTAAACAGCTGTATTTCAACATATCAGTTCGTACCGGACCATTAAAGTTTAAACTACAAGCAACACATGAGCAGCTGCCTTACATAAGTAAGAATCACAGTCAATCACTTAAACACCAAACACTCACAATACTGGTGACAGCAACAACACGTCTGATCACATAACCAGTTATCAGATACAGGCGAAAAAACAACACTTTTATAAATCCCTCCTGATATTAATCATTTACTATAACTGATTTAAATGCTGTTGCACTTCAAACACTTTCCCTTTCAGCAGCAGATATCTGGCTACACACACGCATGCATGCACCCATGCACGCACACACACTACACTAAAGGTGGGATGTAAAGAGCTGACAAAGGCCTCTGATGTATGCTGCTCACTGCTGGGAAAGTGATATAATAGGTTTAGGTCTGGATCTGAGGTCCGGATGCCAACTGGTCAGAAAAGCTCATTAAACAGCCACATGAATTTAACCAGAAGAGAAAACGCAGGTGTTTCCCGCTAATGGGCTTAACTCAGCATCACCACAGCAACACTATTCATGAGCTCGCTGCATCTGGTGATCGCCTAAAAACTAAAACATTCACCATGTTCAACTTTTTAGTTGTGCAAATGCTATTTATGCACTCAGATATTAGTCTGTGTCATCTTGCTCTGTTTCATTACCATACGTCTTATCTTACATTGATTTCTCCTCCTAACCTCACTGCTGGCCTTGATCACTGATGGCGCACAATGTCAATCAATATGCCAAATGTATTTCACTGATATGTTGATGAATTATGTGCCAAAAACAGTGACAGGCGATGAAGGAAAGACACAGCACGAGCCACAGCCGACACTTTCAGGCAACAGTGGGACACTTCAAATTTAATTTAACAGACTTGCAGTAAAAAAAGATGCGACACTAAAGCGATTCAAAAAATGTTATACCAAAACCAATGCTGCCTGTTTTTCACATATAAAATGTACTTACAGAACACTCCTCTCCTTTATGAATACTCACTCTCAGTGTAAGTGTTTAGTAATTAACTATGAGAGGCAACAGTAATGCATGTTTTAGATGATGATGATTAAATGTTACCGTACGCTACCTCACAGCACCAACAATATTAGTCGGTAAAGTTATTTTTATTTTATGCGAATGCAATCACCCAAGGAAAATGTGATTGTAATAATCAGGCACATTTCTGAAGATTTATTTCTTCTATTCTTCTCAATAAATGTTAATTGAAAACTTTTATTCAGTGAGTTGTTGTCATGTTTTGCAGGATAATGTGCAAGGTGCCACACGTTTCAGCGGTATTTATAATACTATTTGGCTATAGAAAAATGTGATGAACAATTTCAAATGGCTCGTATAATATAAACAGTATTTTTTTGGACAATGTTCAACCTTACAGATTAATGGTCAACGTTTACTGTTGTCTGAATGTTTCCTTAATTTTAGACTAGTCCACTTGTCTAAGTTTAAACTACATGAGGGGAAAGTAGTCATTAGGAACAACTCTAGCCGACATAGCGATTTAATCAATTATAAGATAAAATTCAGTAGTAGTATAATAAGTTATAGTTATAATAGTTATTGTACTGTGTTCAGTGTTAAGTGAATTAGTGAGATGCTAGATTCTCAAGACCTGTCGACAGGAGGCTTTTCATACATTAAAACTGAAAAAAGAATATGCATCCACAAATATACACATTAGAATTCATCCACAAATCCATACACAGAAATTCATATACATATATTGTAGACATATTGGGAATACCTAGTGAATAAACTCTATTTAAACTCTATCATCTCTACTAGATATCTTCCTCTACATTTGTAGGGAGAGAAAACACACACAAACACGTACACTTCTCCTCCTCTAACCCTGTATCCCTCCTGCCCCATCCCAGTTGGACCATGACAATCCCCTTCACCCCGGCAATATGTCATCCCTGATCCGATTAGTATCAGCAGCACTTGAGAAACCGCAAGCTCCTTGTGGTGAGGGTCCCGAGAGGGAGGCATCTGTTGGCTGCAACAGGGCAGACAGGGCCAGGCGCAGGGCAGAAAAGAGGGGTGAAGCCCCTTGGTCATAATCTAACTGCAGTAAACCTAGGGAGGCGTGGGGGGAACGCTGCGGACACGTGCCAGGCACAGCAGCCTCATCTTTACACACACATATTCACTTTTATACTGACACAGACTGGAAACTACAAATGACAACAGTTCAATGAATAAAAAAGACTGAAAAAACAGTAACATGATCCATAATTACATGGACAGCTGGTTTTAAGAAGAGCATCTTTGTAATGTAGGTATATGTGAACATTATGTCCTAAGCCCTGGCGTGAGAAGAGCGAAGCCTGTGTCCCTTCAGACCAAAGCCCCCCTCTTAATTCTTTGTTTTATTCCCCTGCCCCTGTGTCCCCTCTGGGCTGAAGGGCTTCTTTCAAGAAAAGCAGGATAGAGGTGTAATCCTTAAAAACCTCACCGTAATGCTCTCATGCTTCCCAAGATCCACTTTTTTAATCCTCATATACATGTAGAGGCTTCATAAATCCGGCTTCAGCCTGACAAGACAGTAAATCTAGTAATATTATGACCGAGTGCAAAAAAAAAAGAGAGAAAGAAAGAAAGACAAAAAAAAAAACATGTTTACATGTTTGGATGGAGATGCAATGATGGGATGATTGTGGATTGAAAGAAACAAAATTCATGGAATTACAATTCTTAGACAGACCAGAGTGTTTTTGTTTTTAGGTCAGGGTAAAAAAAAAAACATGAAGGAGATGAATACAAATGAGATATCCTCAAGATGTCGACATCAACAATTTGTAACAGGACACTTATAGGCAACTATTTTCATATTTAAGTCATTTCCAAGCAAAATAGCCAAATAATTGATAGTTTCAGCTTCTCAAATGTGAGTATTACTTGTTTTTTCTTGTTTTTCATTATAGTTTTAGTTATTATAGTATAGTTATGATAAAATGTAAGACATTTACACCATATATTGATGCAGAAATGCAAAAATTGGTGCATAAAAATTCACCAAGATGCAGAAAACCCTAGGCACTCCCCATTTAATGTGTCCCCACAATGCTGAGATGAAACTCATGCTCCATCTGAAGATACGCAATTGGCATTTTTCACAATTTTCAGATAAATTGTAGACAAAAATTACTAATCAATCAATCAAAAAAATAATTGGCAGATTAATCAACAACGAAAATAATTATTTGGTGCAACCCCTACACACACATGCATAGCCACTAGCCTGCGTCAACTCACCCAAGCCAATACACCCCACATGTATGCAAATACGCTCTTAACGAATTATTCCGCCTGGCAAAAATTAAAAAGTGTGTCATAATTGAGGAAATGTGTCATCAGGTTGAAGTGATGACACTCACACTGTGGTCAGGACATCGTGAGTCACTTTCACTCTAATCTAATCACATGACTCACGCAGGCAGTTTTACATATTGCGTCAGTAATCAAGAAGATTGTTTGGTTTGGCTATGAGATAATTTCTTCATCAACCAGCAGTTTTTTCAAAATAGATGAGAAACAGCAGAAGACAAAAAGAAGTTCAGGATTCGTCTAACCTAAAAATACATTTAATTGAACTGCATATGAAACTTAATATAAAATGTACTCATTAAATCAATTCAAAGTCAACAATTGGCTAATTTTCTCCCACTTCAAGTGTCATCCACTTGCATCCCGAATCTTGTTCAGTTCTGGTATCACATCTCCTCACTTGTCTTACATTAACTGTTGCTAACAAGCTGACTGACTGAAAGGATTCGGCCTCTTTGTAGCGAGATCGCTCAGTCAAACGACAATAAGGACTGTCACAAGTCGAAGTCAGCTACAACAATGAAGGCCTCCTCAGCTACACAAAGCCCTGCTGAGCGGCTGGTCCATCATGGTAGGGGGACAGGCTAAAAATACCACTGGGACCTGCTGCTATTGACTAAACAAACTGGAGCTAATGGGAGGCCTCAGTGCTCTGCTCCCCCCACACACACACACAAACACACACACACAGATACATGCTGGCTTGCTACAATGCCTCCCTAGAGAGTGAGATATAATCAGAGAGATTGGTTGCAGACTAGGGCAGTAAGACAGCCTGGTGCGTATCCAATAGGGACAGGGCTAGCAGGTCAGGCCTCATCATCACAACATGTTTGCCTGGCTGGCACAATTCAACGAGGAAAGGAGGGAATGAGGGAGCATGTGATCAGCAACGGGAAAATGGAAAAGCAGCCAGAAGTGAGTGAAATTATGTAAATAATAGTCAGCCAAACATGAGAGCCTGGAAAAAGTATAAAAAGAAACATGTATCAGTTAAAGTGAAAGAGAGAAGAGCGCAGAAACGAAATGGAAAAGTAAGTGGTGAAAGAGGAGGGGTGTTTTGGTTTTGGTGAACCACAGAGGGCTGTTAGTTCACAAGTATTTACAGAGATGCCTGTGTGAAACCAAAAGCTGCATGAGGATAAATAGGAGGAGATGACAGAGGAGGAGCAGTGGTTGCCTGTGGGCAGCGACTGGGTGGCAGCCACGCTTCAATCCCCCTGGGAGCCCACATCAAGAGGGTCAACAACACCCATGAGAGTGTTTGGGCTCCTGCTCTAGTCAATGGCATCCACTTCTGCTTTCAATTGAGTGTGTTTTGTGTGGGGTGAAAAGCAAACGTGCCTTTGACAAAAACAATTAATTAGGTACATTTTCTAAATAATCTAATGGATTCCAAATAAAAAACATGTTATAAAGAGGGAAACTTGAGGTAAAAACTGCCAAACAACAGCTCAAATCTACAATGTGGAAACATATTCTGCTGTCTCACTCTCCATCTAGTGGTGACTTGCTGTAACTGCATATATCTCTGGACTAGATGTTCATCAAAACCCTGCAGTTTAATACATGTGAAGATGCTTATCATTTCTGTTTTCAGACCAATTTCGAGTAAACAAAACAGATTTTTTTTGAAGTAAATCAATTTGAGACAGGTTTTATGTACCTAAAAATCCCCAAAGCACAGCTAAGAAAAGGTTTTTGATAACATAAAGTGAAGAGTAAAATGAAGGAAAAATGATTGAACTGAATTGAAAACGATGAATTACCCAAATACAGCATGTTTGCAGGGCAAGCACTTTAAAAAAATAAATAAATAAAATATTTTACCTGGATTTTGTGTTACTGATTTTCTTATCCAATTTTCCTGTTTTGAATGTTTCTAATATTTAAAATAAAAAATAATGAGGCCTGGACATTGTGTATCATTTGGTTTACACATTCAGTGTGTCCTGTGTGTGTGTGTGTGTATGTATTAAATGTGTGCTCTTTCTGCTAACTTTACCTTTGCCAGGACAGAGATATAATTCCTGAGACAGGTCAAGGCCTCTTTATCCATGAGAGTATGAGCAGCCACCTCCACACGCAGAGAGTAGTACAGCGTTGACTCGAGGTCTGCCATGTACACCCTGGAACTGGGCACACAATCATAAAAATCATGTCAACAAATAATGAGGATGAGTAGATAAAGATGGTTTTGTGAAGTTCATACCTGTTGAAAGGTCTCCAGGGCTCCTTTGTGCTGTTGGAGATGACATCTATGGTGACCGGTGGAGGCTTCCCTGACCGCACCACCCCCGGCAGCCTCTGGAGGGCATAAGAGTAGAAAGCACGAGCCTCGATGTTGCTGTGGGAAAGGAAGACAGGTGAGGCTGACCCTTAGGTCATTCATGATAAGCTGTATGCACAAAAGTATGCGGACACCACTCTCTAGCTTTCATGTTTCAACAAGACAATGACCCAATGCACAAAGAGAGGTCCACGAAGAAACATTTTTCTGGTTTGGTGTGGAGGAATTTGACCCATCCAACACCTTTGGGATGAACTGAAACACCAACTGCACGTCAGAACTTATTGCCCAACATCTGTGGCCTCCATACAAGAGCAGAAGCTGTGACAGCATAATGTTAAAGGCCATCATTTTGGAACGAGATTCAACAATCACATGTGGGAGTAATGAACAGATGCATTCGATAAACGTCCAGCTTACTTTTGTACTGTTCTCTGTCTTAGCTCTGGGAGTTAGTTTTGACAGATCTGGGGAAAACTGTATTCTCCTACTATAAACTCTGAACATGGAAAAACTGTTAAAAAAAATCTAAAATTAGAAACTTTTATATGCATTTATGACTTTAAGGGCATCATGAACAATGTGGTCATGGATGCATGTGGTTGTTTTTGTTGAGAGGCTACTGTGTTAAACAGCTGGTCTTCTACTTTACTGTGAACGTCATGTTGTATTTTAATATACTGTGATTTTGTACAGCTGCTACCTCGGCCAGGTCTCTCTTGTAAAGGAGAATTTTGATCTCAGAGGGAAACCCTGGCAAAATACATTTTAAATCAATAAAATACAAAAAAGTCCACACACTTTTGGCCATGTAGTGTCCATGTAACCCAGTTTGTACAGCCATGTGTTAAGACTCTAATCCTGCAGCAAACCTGAAACAAATGCGCTGTTTTTTTATTTCAACCTTTTGTTTCAGCAGTCCACAGCCATAAAAATTGTTTTATGACCTGTATTTTTTGTGGCCATATATTTTACACACTTACGGGAATGCATTTTAAACACTGAGCAGATGGTGCCAGAGTAGCGTGGAACTGAGAGAGAGAGAGAGAGATCGCTGATCATTTAGCCATGTGATAACCCCGCAACTGGAACCACAGCCATTAATGTTCTCTCTCTCTCTCTCTCTCTCTCTCTCTCTCACATCCTCCACTCATTTGCTTTCTCCCCTTGTCAGGGACACAGAGAGAGAGCGGGAGAGAGAGAGCATCGTAAAACTGGAACAGGATGGTAATAAGGAGGATGGATACTCTGGGCCCACGCTCACTCACACCAGCCCAGGACTCAATTACACCTGCGTGTCTGGTGGGAGTGTACAGATGTGGAGGGAGAGCCATTCATCCAGCGATCCCCAGGGCCGGCGGGCAGGCAGGCATCAGGGTGGGCTGGGAGGGAATGCATTCACCTGGGACCAGCACACATTACATGCATGACGGATGTGAGACGCCCCCGCACACACGCAGACACACACACATACACACGCACACTCCGCTCTCCCAGGATCAATCAGACATTCAGTGATGATGGGAGGCCATCTGTCGCCGTGTGCGGCTGGGGCTTGTTTGGCAGGTGAAGCCAGAAAAGCAATGGCATTGTTTTCATGCAAGAAATTAAAAAACCTCCCCTCTGTACAGTGATGGAGATGAGGGGGGTTGGAAGGGGAGAGATGGAGGGTGAATAAATAAATCAGCAATAAATCATTTCCTTTTTGCATTTGTCAACTAAAAAGAGTCCTCTTTGCATGCCAAGTTATTGAAACAGCCAAACAAAGAGGCAGAAACAGCAGATGAATTTGCAGGGTGAGGAATGATCAGCATCGCTTTATGATAGTGAATAATGGGAGCGATTTTGATGCTCTGATCCCATTAAGAGGCCAGATGTTTAAAAGTATTCTCATGAATAGGGTTCAGATAATGAGCACACGATGAAGGTTTACGGCAGAAAGCAAAGTTGTCATGTGCAAAACAATAGGAACCAAAGGGAAACAAACTTGGTGTTTGTGTATTTCAGATGAGGCAAAATGGAAATTACTGTAAAAAGTTTGGGATGTTATCAATATATAACAGGTACAGAACATATGAGTTTTACACAAAAACAGCTCATGTTCATGTCAATCCACCCATTTGCTTTTGAAAGTGGTAGTTCTTCAATACATACTAAAGTTTACAGTTTAACAAGTATTCAGCTTGCAGATGTATCCTGCATGTCTGTCTCTATTTTAAATGTTTTGATGAGGATGGAGAAATAGTAACTCTTAAATGTACATCAGGTGTTGTCCTTTCTTCAGGTTAATAATAATGTTGAAAATCTAGCAGGTAAAACTTTGTGTAGAATCTGTACATTAGAGATGTTCTGATACCATTTTCCCTTCTCAATAGCGATTCTGATTCCTGAACTTGCATATCAGCTGTTATCCAGTACCGACTGAATACTGCCATTTTATCTGGCTGTTAAACTACTTTAAAGTTTATCCATAAATTACATGGTATCAGATCAGTGCATAGACTTGTTGCTGATACTTGACCCAGCATTTTATGTAACAGTATGTGTATGATACTGGAATTGGTATCTGAACAACTCTTTTGTAAATGCAGCCTGTTGCCCTTTTGATCACTTCAGACAACAATCAATTCTGGCTGGACAAATAACAGGGAATGCTGCACTGGGTCAAGAAACTAGGTGTTGGTGATAGTAAAAATATAAGGTGGTCTTTAAAGATAGGGCGAGTAGTTCATTAAGAATAAAAGCAATGACTGTCCAGCTTGCTTAATGTAGAGGCTCATGGTATAGGTTGGCAGTCTGAAAAGCATCCGGGGCACTCTGATTGTAAGTAAAAATCCTTTATTAATCATTAATATCATAATGGATCGTCATTAATCAAGGAATTTTACTTATAATCAGAGTACCCCAGATGCTTTTTAGACTGCCAGCCTATACCATGGACATGGACTGGATTGTTTTGTTTTTTTTTAAATCTTATAGCAACAACAGTGTTTTTCATATTGTACCAGTGTACTGTCCTGTGCATCACAGTTAACGATCAGCAATTCTGTATATTCTCAAGTGAAGCTGAACGTATTGTTACATCCTGTAGCAGGTGGTGCTTGTTCCTGTGTAGCCATGGTTACTATTACAGCTTGGTTCAACCACAATCTGCACTGTCTATCTGAATATTTACAAAGAGGGTGTGTCATTTTTAGGGCTGTACCAAAGCAGGCTGTAAGGACAGAATGTAAATAATAAAACCTTCAAACAGCGAGTCCACTCCGGTACTTCATTCTCCTGTACAGCTCATTTTTAGTGCAACAACAGAGGAAAGGGTAAATAGTGTGCAAATTGAAGCTCTGCCCTGCACACCCACACAGGTGTTTTCACTTATTCTAGCTAATTACACTTCTGCTCAGGTGGAAGCTGGACAGAGCTGTGCCAAATTTACAAGCTCACTGCACCTCATAAACCAAAGACAATGATGAGGGTGTAACCTCTACCACCCTCATAGTGCGGTCAGACCAAAATTTGGCTGGCGTCATTTAGTCAAGTGGTGTCGCCAAAAGCAGGAGGCGACAGGAAATAATGTGGGTTTAGTCACTTTCAGTGACTCAATAAAAGAAGAACACACCATCTGTTCTAAAGTGTGTGATGTAAATAAAAGGCTGAACAAGCAAGGCATATCTATGGTGACAGATGTTTAGGTTATGGTGGAGAGAGGCGAAGTGTCCCATATCTTTTTAATATAATGTAGTCTGCCCTCCACGCCTGGGTGACCTAGCACTGTAGTGATCTGTTTAAGAAATAATCCTCATGCTTACTATCCAGTCCTTGTCATTTGTCTAAGAAAGACAACTATTAAGCTTATCAACTGGTGCTTTCATGAACTAAAAGATCCCTATTTAGTCATATTACTATTAGGTATACATCTATAATGAGAACGCAGAAAACTGTAATTATTATTATCATCATCATAAATCCCTAGACTACATTATGTCTATTTGAAACGAATACAAAATCTCAAGCTTTGCATATCTTTGCACATATTTTCTTAGATTTTCTTGAAGGACCAGTGTGTAGGATTTAGTGGCACCTAGCGTTGATATTACAGATTGCAAGTGAATACCCCTTCCCTCATCCATCCATTTCCAAGCATGGAGTAGAACCTACTGTGGCCTTTAGGTTATGTACAGTCACACAAAGTGGAAATCATCATGAGGTCAGGGAGGGATGTGAAGTACAATTGTGGTGCTAAGAGAATGCAACTGTACTCACACAGGGCTACATAACTATGTGGAAGCGGGTGCTATTACCAGGGGTGATTTTAAATGTTGTTGCCACAGAGACAGCATTATCTCCCTTCCTTTTATAATGGAGATAACAAAGAAAGCACTAAAGCACCTTTCCTTAGCATTTATTGAATTTGAGAAGCTTTTATGATGGCTGCCACTTAGATATTTTCAGGTCATTTCACCCAGTTAGAAACCAACCAACCTTTTGAAGGCAAAAAAGACTGCAGCCCGTGTTTGGTTTGTTCATTCTGGGCTACTGTAAAAACATGGTGGTGCAACAAGCCAGGCTCAGTGGAATAGGTCTGCTCCCTATGTAAATACGAAGGGCTTGTTCTAAGGTAAAAACATAATTCTGAATATCATATTCCATTTCTGCTTATAGATGTCCCTCAATCCTACACACTGATCCTTAATCTACAAGCTGCCAAACATTGTCAGGATGATAATACTTTAATTTCACAGCACTGTGTAATGTAGTGGATGTTAAAGACTTCACAGATACTCACACTTTAAGTCTGGTGAAGTTACCTCCAGGAGAGTAAAGGTAGCAGGAGGGAAACTCAGTCACTCCCAGTTTGGTTACCAGACCTTCCTCAGTGCTCAGGACTCTCCGTACTGCGATGTTTTCAAACTGTAACAGGTCCAAGGTTACCTGAGGAACACAGCGCGCACACACACACACACAGATTTACAAAAAAAAAGTAATTTTATACAGTATAACTTGGCTTATATCATGTATGCCTATGATATAATTTCAATTCAAACATTACAACAGATTATTCTAACAACAAATGTTCTCTTTCTGGCTGAAGCTGTAAAGCCAGCCATAAGAGAGTTTTGTTAGTTAAGTGGTGGTACATACAGTAGTTGTAGAGAAACCATATTCAGTATTTCTAAAAGCTCATCTCTTCTGCAGCCCCACAAGAAATAATATTCTATACGACAAAGAAACACAAATCTTCTTCAGGCTGATGAAACTATGAGCCTTTACCTCTCGGCCGATGTAGGATTTAGCGTCCTCGAAGATCAGAGCAAGGTGCTGAACATTGTTGGTCTCAAAAAAGCTGTCGATCTCTGCTTGGCTGGAGAGAGACAAAAAACAGCAGACAAAACCAATGAGACAGGTACGAGTTACGCTAAGCCGCGACAAATGCCAAACATCATCACTAAATCTTAAAGGGATCAGCTGCTTGTCTTGTAAAATAAAGGAAGAAACAAAATATGTGCAATATTTTATTTAGAAAGAAACAAAGGGACAATCTGAAATCAAATTGAGACTTCAGGTCATTTGAATAGGCTATTTTTGAATTGCCTTTATCTCCTTTCCCCCCCAAACAAAACTATTTTTATCCGAAGAGCACCCACACCCAAAATCATTAACACTAAAACTGCTGTCTGATATCTGATTTCAACTTAAGAATGTTCTTTTGGTTGACAAAAGTTGCAAAGCAAGAAAGCATGATGGTTGAAACCCACCTATTTTCTTAAAAAAACAAGAAAACAAGTACAAAAGGAGAAGAGGGAACTTCATAATTCTGACCGGAGCAACGCTACTTTCGCTTTAAAAAAAAAAAAAAAAAAAGAATAAACTTTGACTTCCTGCTTCCTTTTCCTGTAACACTATGATAATAAACTGTCTGTATGGTGCCTGTTTCCTGTGAAGTCAGGATGAAAGCTGAAGTGTTTGGGGCTACATTATCTGCTCAGATTCAACCAAATGCTTCAAAACTCATTGGACAATGCTTCACAGTGCAGTTGGACAATGACCTGAAGCATACTGCAAAAGCAACCAAAGACATTTTTAAGGCAAAGAAGTGGAATGTTCTGCAATGGCCAAGTCATATCATCTGACCTGAATCCAATTGAGCATGCGTTTCTCTTGCTGAAGCCAAAACTGAGGGCAAAACACCCAAAACACAAGCAGGAAGTGCAGACGGCTGCAGTAAAGGGCTGGCAGAGCATCACCAGGGAAGAAACCCAGCATCTGATGATGCCTATGTGTCCAACACTTCAGGCAGTCATTGACTGTAAAGGATTTGCAACCAAGTATTAAAACTGACTGTTTAATTGATGATTATGTTAGTTTGTCCAAATACTTATGAGCCCTTAAAGTAGGGGGACTGTGTGAAGAAATGGTTGTAATTCCTACACGGTTCATACTACATTTTTGAAAAAAGCCTTAAATGAAAGCTGAGAGTCTGCACTTTAAGCAGGTATTCATTGTTTCATTTAAAACCCATTGTGGTGGTGTACAGAGCCAAAATGACAACAACTGTATCATTGTCCAAATAATTATGGACCTGACTGTAGATAAACAGTGATTGCCTGACAGATTAACCAATGGCATTTGTCACCTAATGAAAATCATGCAGTCTAACAGCTAAATTCCAACAATGAATATGGGTATGTGTCTGTTTGTGTGTATGTGTCTACCTAGCGGGCTCCAGTGGAGGGCAGGCAGGGGGCCAGGGCTCCTTATGACTTTCCAGTTTGTCTATGATCCTGTGACGGAGCACCCGAACATCATGAGTGCCAACTGGAGGTCAAAGAGCATCAAGAGAACATTATACATTGATGTTGATTATCATTCATTAATGAATAACTGAGCATGTAAAAATTGCAGACAATTTAAGGTGATGGCTTCTTTATTTCTCACTGGTCTGAGATGTGGTACCTTTAAAAGACTGTCCTGCAGAATCAGCCTCAGAATAAGCATGGAAGAACTGCAAAGTGAAAGAGAGAGGAGGTTTGGGTTACACAGGAAGTGCAGAGAAATAGAGAAATGACATCAGATGAGACAGCCCTCACACAGCCATGTTGTGTAATGTTCGGTTCGTAGGGGGGGGTACAGCTTTCCCCTCTGCCTGCCTTGACCCCTAAATCCCTCCTGGTTAAAATGAGTCGCAGATGTTAAAGCTTCATTGTGTGTTCAAACAGAAGGAGCTCTTTGTTTCATTGGCTCTCGCTGGGTGACAGAGAGGAGAGAGTGTGACACACACACTACTGCTGACTAATCAGATAGGCTACAAATACAAATGCAGATGTTTGACACTGGAGTGTTTCTGCAGATTGTGCAAAAGTTGACACTGCTGGTGAATAGATTTTTGCATCAACAGTATCTAACCCAGTGATAAAAGAAAAAACCCTCTTACAGACTTATAACTACTAAAGATAAAAGTAGAAAAGTCCCTTGGTGACTGACTACTAACTTGTAATTAGATAATAATTTCACTTTTTTTTAATTTTAGTGTTTATTTATGATCCTGATTCCAAAAAAAGTGGGACACTGTGTGAAACATAAATAAATACAGAAAGCAATGATTTGCAAATCCTTTTTGACACACAAATGGGGGAAACGAGTATTCAAGACATTCATTTTTTTCATCAAACATAGTTCCAATGCTGCTATTTACATTAAAATTTATGCCAGACAATGGTATTAACTCAATAAAACTACGCTGATGAAGAAATCCTAACATTGCATAGAAGTTACGGGCAATATAGTGGAGTGACACAGAAAAACTAGCATTAAACATCCTAAATTAAGCTTTTGTTTGCAATGCCAGCTTCAAGACATTTCCTGTATGAAGAATCTGATCTCTCAGTGTTCAGATAGGATTTTGGCCCATTCTTAAGCACAGAACCACAAAAGAAATGATAACAACGAAAACACAGGAACCGATAGGATAGATAGAGCCTGATCACTTAGGAATGAAAAGTTAAACTCTTGAATTGACTCTGGTTCATCAAATACCTTTGTAATTTGCCTGCAAATGAGTCTTTTGTTTCCACACATGCTTATGTACATTATACACCACATGCTAATCTAAATTAAACATACAGTATAAGTGTTAAACAAAGGAGCTCCCAGCCATGTTCGAGCAAAACTGTGAACATTCCTGGTTTTATTGTCACTTCAGAAAAATGTGCTGGAGTGGCATGGAAGTGAGGGGACTAGAAATGTAGTCTGGTGTGCTGCTGTAAGATAAGAGACCACAGCACTGCTGAAATATGGTGGAGTTGCTTCAGAAGTATTATTTTATTTAATTTATGGAATAAAGAATAAAGAAAGATAAAAGAATAAGGACTTTTTACAGTTGTGCTTCGACAGCACCTGCTTCTCTCGATTTTTAAAGGGGCAGTGGGTAGGATTTAGTGGCATCTAGTTGGACTACAGATTGCAACCAACTAAAATGCCTCCCCTGTGCTAAGCGTAAGATTCCTTCAAAATTTATTGTTCAGAAGGTTTTCAACGGGAGTCAAATTATCCGCAGGGGTCTGTTCCTCTCCAAAACAAATGGAGCAGCTGATTAAAAACACTGAATAAAGCAGTTTTCTGGATACTCTTGTCACAGAGGGGCTGCTGCTGAGAACAGTAGCCAATGCGCAAACATGAATGGCTCGATCTAAAGCCATTGTTTGGTTTGTCTGTTGTGGGCTACTGTACAAACATGGCGGTGCAGCATGGCAGGCTCTGGGGCCAAGGACCCACTCCCTATGTAGATATAAATGAAACATTCGAAGATAACGAAAACACAGCAAATCCTATTTTCAGGTGACTACACACTAAGGAAAACATACTTATTATATGATATTCCATTTCTGCCAATATACTCCCCTAAATCCTACACACTGCGCCTTTAAGATTGGCTCCAATACTTTCTTTAAAAGTCCCTAAAGTTGGCAACAGTAGACATAGTGGAGCAAAATGTTTACCTTCTCCTAATCACATCTGTCCCTGGTCATCAACTTCACATAATATAACTAAGTGAATGTTCACACAGCAGACATCATGAAAGAGCTGAGAGCACAGTATATGGAGCTTGTGTAAACAGTTTACATACTGTATAATACCTTTATCGTGGGATAAGCCCTGATTTTGAAGCTGGTGCAGACCTTCCTGTTCTCCTCTGCGGCACAGTCGATTGCTGCCAGGTCCACAGCTGGCTTCCACTCTGAAGAACAGACATCAAATGGAGCTACAGTAAATATTCAGAGTACTGTCGACTGCACCTGGTGCAGGCTGCTGACACTGAACTGGGTCCTGTGTGTTGTCCTTGTGCCATGCGTGCCAATATGCACTTTGGTAGATCAACATACAAGGAGTTCATACTGTCAAGAAAAATTTACTATTAATTTGTGAAAGACAATGAGCTCATCACATGTGGGGTAGCCTAACTGGTGGGCCTAAGTACTGATCATTTTACATATTATAAACAGGTATTTTGAGGCCGATCCACAGTTTGAAGGTTGTCATGGTGCCAATGATGCATGCAATCCTTGTATTCTCATAAATATCAGGTGGATGACCCCAGGGTATGAAATTAACAAAATATTTTGGGGGCAATTTTGGCCCCCACGGTCTAAAAAATGGGGGCATTTTCAAAATGTTTGGGGGCCATCAAAAAATTGTAATTATGTTCTAACAATAAGCACATGAAAAGCAAAACCAACTAAGATAGTTAGTTAGCAGAAAGTTATGATTGCAAAATATCACTCAGATTTCCTATAATTCAACCAGTTTAAATGTGATGATTTAACCATTAATCTACTGATAGCAGTACTACTGTTTCACCACATTACAGTTACTTTTACTGTTAAAAAGGCCAAATTACTATAAATTCCTTAGATGCAATCCTGGAAGTAAGTTAATTTAAAATTGAACATTCATTCTACCTTAATTTTTCATTAATTTGTCATTGTGTAGACACAGATCACCCAAGAAATGGTTAATTTATACTTATGGTACAGCAAAGCCCCCTCCCCTTCTCTGTCAGATTACTCTCACGTAATCAGTACAATCTCGTCGATTATATCTGGAAAATGTGTGACGGTAAATTAATTTAATGAAAATAAAATTATACTTTAATGTCAGATTGTAATACTGTTAAAAATATAAATACATATAGTTGTTTCGAAAACCTGGGGGCAATTTTGGCCCCAAGAACATGGCTTTTGGGGGCATTCTTGGATAAATTGCGGGCCAAATGGCCCGTGGCCCCTGCTAATTTCTGACACTGGATGACCCCCTTAACTCCAAAGCAAGGCATTTGATAGCATGCCAAGACATCAGTTGCCATTGTTGACTGTGTGTGGGAGTCAAACACAGGACTGAAATACCCCATGACTGTGTCAGGCCTCTTGCCATCATCAGAAACTTTGCCCTCTGCTATCATCCTAATTATATTTATTCTCATGGCTGTGTGATATTTCTCTTGGCTCATGAGTTGCAGAGCTACAGAGACAGTTGGAGGATGTGATGGAGAGCCAGAATAAAAAGGCTTTCATTAGATCACATGCTCTAATTAACAGACAGAAACAGCTTGGTGTACTCACTGTCTCCATGCAGATGATACAAAATATTTAAACAAGGCGGTATTAAAGCTAGAGACAAATGACTGTTAGTGCTAAGTGTTTAATTGTGGGACTTTTTGCTGGCTTGTCATGTGAGTACAACGAGCTCTGAACAATGTTTACAAACAATCATGATTATGAATGATTACACTGGACTAATACTCATAATTAATTGCCATTATAAGCAGCTGCAGCTACGTGACTTGCAGCAGCTCCGTACCAACCTCTGATGTCTCTCGCCAGACTTTTGTACACCGGAGAAAAGGCGATGCAGTGTCCGCACCATGAAGCATAAAACTCTGCCAGTATAGCTGCTGAGGAGTTCACCAAAACCCACTCCACATTTTCCGTACTTAACACGATGACTTGGTCAGTAGCGGTGTACAGTCCAGCCTCCGCGGCAGGAGGGAAAATGAGACAAAAACATAACAAAACCGCAGATGTTGCTACCTTTGAGGGATATACTTGTATTTCTCCGATAAACCGAGACGTGGCACGGCAGTAGCGCCGCGCCATCTTCCCCGTCCGAGCTGCTGCTAACCGTCGGTGTGAACGCAAGTTTTCACCTCCGTGTCACAAAACTTGACACAACTTTTTCTCCCCCTCTTTTCCCGGTCAGCAGGCTTCATGGGTCCTCCCCCTGAGGAGCTCCTAGTCATTTAAAAAAACACCTCTCACAACAGAGTCACACACCCTCTCCACCATCACTCATTTCGCTCGTTAACTTCTGATGGTTGAAGATGAAACGTTGATAACGGCCGTGTTACAGTGACGCGCGAGGACAAGAAGTTTAGTCTTTTGCCCCTTCACGGCCCTCATACAGGAAATAGAATTAAATATTAATAATATTAAATATCGATTAATAAAAAATATTAGCTGATCGTAAACTTTCATTGATTTGAATTAAATATATTTTATCTCGAACATAGAAAATAAAATATATGTGTAAAAAAACTGACAAATAAAACGATGTGCAACAGTATTTTTGTAAGCAACTTAAACGACCATTTCAAAAAAGTTACATTAGCATTTCATTCTTGACCTCCACAAAGAGTTTAACAAATACAGTAACAAATAATACCTTTAAAATATACCTTAATTTAGTTTCCACTTTACTTCAAGAGAAGTCAAAATCACTATTTTTGGCCATATACATCACAGGTATGTTCTCACACAGTATGTCACTGAAGAAGCAATTTTCTTATATTGTGATATTCTTGGCTAAATATAAGGCTCTCTGACTACATTTTCTGTTATGCAAACAACCTGTTAAAAGCATCAGCAGAGGTGGAACCAAGTCATTGTTTTGCAAGTCAAAGTCCCCAGTCCAGTCCCAAGCCAAGAGCGGTAAGTCCCTAGTCAAATTCCAGGTCAAGACTAACAAGGAAAAAGCAAAATCCAAAGTCCTGAACTTTGAGTTTCAAGACAAGTCATCAAGCGTTCCCCACCAAACATAATGATATTAACTAGCACCAAAACAGAATTAATTTTGTATGTTCCTTGCTTGTTGTGTTAACCTCCTGAGACCCCGTGTCCCCATATGAGGACATCACATTTTGGGTTTACTTGACCTTATAAATCTTTCCGATTAACTTAAACCCATTGTCCTTGTTGATTTATGATTAATAATGTTTGTAGTTTGATATGGCAACAAATTTGACCAATTTTAGCAACAGCAACAGTCTTCCAAAATTGTCTACCTTCAAAATGATACTTGTATGTTGTTGCATGTTTTATGTCTGAATTCAAAAAATAATGTTAACATTAGTTGATTCAGGAAATAAGAGGAAAATAATTCATTCATGGCACAAATTTTATTTAATATAATTTTTTTTATCTCTGTGCTTGGGGAAAGGTATCAAGTATTTCCAAGTCAAATGTCTCAAGTCCAAGTAAAGTCATGAGTCATTGGTGTTAATTTCCAGGTTATGTTGCAAGTCTTTTTTTGATTTTGTCAAATCTAAAGTCATTTATGACCCAAGTATGTCATGTGACTCAAGTCTACACCTCTGGTAAATGGTAATATCCTTAGTAATTATCTTTGTATCAAAAGGGCCTTAGCTAGGATTTCTTTACATAGTTTTCTGTGTATCTAAAAAAAAATTACAAAGCTCCAAAATTTTTTTTATCTCTGCACATTATCTTTTAGTCACGTTTTAAGGTTTTTAAACTAATAAATATAAGCCTTAAAAACATTTCAAAACATGTCAAGTCAATTTTATTATATACTGTGGTCCAATATTACAAATCACAATATCGCTCAGGGCATTTTAGGATCTGTACAGCAAATGACACCCTCCCCACAAAAACCCTTCATCAGGGAAAAAAATGGTAGAAACCTCAAGAAGAACACGTGTAAAATGTGTGTGTAATCATAGGATGTAACGTCCTTTTGATGCCATGTAACTCCCACATTGCCACTGAACGTGACAGTGGTGTCCACAGCAGTCACTGCAACCCTGCAATCAATTCAGGAGTTACAGACTTCAATTTTTCTGCATTTTGAGATTGTTAACATGGATTCACAGTTCAAATGGAACCAGCAGAAAAACACTCAACATTTAGACTTTTAGGAGGAGATATCTTGGCCTGCTGTCAGTGCTGTGAGAGCACTGTGTGGTAACTACTGCAAACTCAAAACCAAACCAGTCAGCATTGCTTTAGAAACAATGAAAGCTTTATTTACAATTTCAAAGTTCATTTAGTTAACAAATATATATTTTGCACATATTTGCAAAGTAAACAGTGTTTATCTTACAACAATCGTTCAGGTTACAGTAACAGTGGGTCAGATCGGATAGACAGTATATTTACAACCTTAAAAGAATTGTACAAGTCTCCAAGTGCACTTGGCACACACTTATAACACATTATTATTATAAATATTCATAAACATTTCAAAAAGATGAATCTACTCTGACTGGGTTAATTTGATGATCAAATCTTTTGTGCCTACTTTTTAATTCAGTTATTCAGATCAAACTCGATTAGAAGGTAAAGTTGCTCTATCCACCTCGGACCAGCAGATAGAAGCAACTCTGCCCTACACCAAACAGCTTCAAGCTTCTTGACGATTAATTTATCTACACACTACAGCAGAAGTCTAAGCTATTTGGTCCACACATGGAGAGCAATGCATAAGACCAAGTACTGCATAGTTACAGAGGGGAACTTAACTCTCCCCACATACAATCAAATCAAGAGGACAATCCTACAGGGTTTGAGATAAAGCCTTACAGAAAGAGAGAAAGAGTTTCTAAAGTACGAATCATGTCACCATTACAGTTACATATGCCTACAGACCAGACATACAAGTCATACAGCATGGAGAGATTGGTGTCAAATGTTTTTGGTCTTTTTCTACATTATATAACTTACATTTTGAACATACACATTAGCAACTCCTAAAACACTGACAGTAGAAAAAAAAAAGTCTCAGTTTAAGGTCACTTTAGCTCCAAACAGTCAGTAAAGATTAACAAGCTCTGTCACTCATGCCACAATGAGTCTGTACACAGTTTGTTGGATCAAAGCAGCGCCGACAGTGAGGACTAAAACAAGCCCTTGGACACAGTCCTACGTGCTCAGTCTCATCACCTCTATGACTCACACTGTGTGTGTGCGTGTGGAGTGTCAACAATCTAGTTCCTGATACAGTTTATCAATAAAATGATTCAACTGTGTCTATATGCACAGATGCTGGGGTGACACGGGTAAGAAGCAGGAAACCTTAAGAGTGAGTCAGCATAGACATTTCCTTTGAGGCATAGAAAATGCTTCCTCATCTATGCTTCAATACATAAAGATTGATAAGGCAGAAACTTAAGTATTGGCAAACCGGTGAGAAGGAAGAGCGGCCATTTAAGGATCATTTACAAAACCGTAGTATACAGCAGTTGAAAGAGACATTCAAAGAAAATAGGTCCAAAAGGATGTTGAGACATCAACAAAGTTTGTTATAAACCAACTTAAACAGGCACTTAAACTGAATGTTGAAAAAGACTACCTCTGTTGTCTGACTACATAGCCAGGCTACATTCTGATGGCTGGTTTGAACTTGCTGATCGCTGTAAAGCCAAATCTGTCACAGCGGCAAGTGGAGCACAGAACCATGCTGCTACACGACTCAATAGTTTTTGGGCAAATGTTCAGCTGGCTTCCTTTGCAAGGGCGGGGGATGAAGAAACAAGACAACCACAGGTGTTTTCTCAGGTCAGAGAAAGTAAATGGACTGTAGGAAAAGTAAGGCTCAAATCCAGCATTTCAGTTCTGTCCTATGATGTAAGTCTAAAATATATAAAGTCAGGCCTACTGCCAGTCTTCTGTGTCCCACTTGCATACTATATACTCTGTTGTTTTTTTTTTGTTTAAGTATGTAGTGTTACACACACAAAAAAGACCAAATGAAATATGAAAATACCAGCATGTATATTAAAATTACTTTTGGGTTTGTCTCCAAATGCTAACTCATAAACATTGTTAAATGGGGCGCAAAAGCTTTGAAGCATTTTCTTTGCTGGTTGTTTAAGATGTTTTCAACCTGTTAACATAAAGACACAGTGTATGTGTAGTATGAAAGTGGGACACAGTGATTGTGTCGACCACTTGGACAGCTGTGGCCTCGATAAAAGTCATACAGAACACTTCTAATTAATCATTAACACTACGACATTTAAATATTAAAACAGTTTTTTTTCTCCCCATGTTCTTTTTCTGGTTTCAATAGCATTCTTTAAAACCTCCTACATAATATATTGCCATGTTCACATTCACATTTCTGTTTGTGCTTTTTGTACAGTTTTCATTAGATGTTAAAATCTGTTCTCAAGATCATTTACAGTTCAAAATGTTCCTTACTCCTCTAATCAAACGTTTTCACGCAATAAATAATATAATTATGGAGGCAAATATTTTTTTCCCCCACACAATATCTGATCTCAGTGACACTCCAATGCAGCATAGTCTCACAATATTCGATCAGTGACGAACTGAAACCGTTTTAGCTCTCCTCCGGCACACTGAGTTAGAAATTCAACAATGGTTATAAAGTTAGACTCTCAGCTTTTTTGTAAACATAGTCTCCCAATTAAGAGCCAATGCAACAGGACATGACGCCAAAGCAAACAAGAAGTATTTAGGGCCAAACAGTGACTGGCGTCCAACTGAGCATATGTTGTACTTGCTGAAGACCAGACTTCAGGCAAAAAGTCTCAGAAACAACCAAGATGTGAAGATTGCTGCAATAATGCATTATGATATTAACTTAAAGCTTGCTTATACACCACTTAAATGTGGGAGCTGATCACTGATCACCTAATATGGATGTAAAAACCCTCAAATTACAGCTAAAAGTTTAACTTCATAGCCACTGTTTAATGTCAATGAGCTGGATTACAAAGCCAACACAATAATGTGTCACTGTCAAATCACTTATGGACTACACTGTATATTCTTTATCTGCTACTCTAATCTTTGAATCCATATATATATATATATATATTTACTTTAAGATTCAATACAAATATAACAACCTACTTTTGTTCCAGGTGGATTTTATTTTACAGTCTCCCATGGAACGATCAACTTAGCAGCATCGATGGACTTTAAATGCGAACAAATGGCTCAGTCCATTCTATGAAAACATCTACTCATTCTCCAACTGGCATTTACAAAAGGACCAGTCCAGGAGGTGAGAACTGAGACTAGGTGGTGTTAAGGTTTAAGAAGGCTGGGTTGCTCAAGAGGCATTTTGTGTGTAGAACAAATTATGTAACCACTACAGTTAGCTGAAGCAAAATTCAGCAAATTATTGTCACAGAGATAAGTAGGAGTTGTTCAGCTGAGAGGTAATGCTGGGACTGAAGGCATCTGAGGGTTGCTGTTGGCACATCAGCTGGTGGAAGACCAAGCGGCGGGAGGTTGGCTGGAGTTCACTGGGGGTGAAGAAAGACTGGGATTGAGCTAGAGGTTGTAGTTAAAATCTGAGCGGGAAAGCTGTCAGGAGAGGGTGTTTTCTCTTTTGGCCCTCTTGTCGTAGATTAGCGTCAGCACGTTTGCAGTGTCCTTCAGCAGAGCATCGAATATGCTGTCTGCCAGCTGCATCTTGACAAACAGCTCGTCCTCATCATAGTTGACCCACTGGGCTTCCTCCTCGTGAAGTTCCTGAACCTGAGAGACAAACAGGGTCAACTACTGAAGCACAGTGACTGACATCAGTTGTTTATATTGCTGTGAGTAAAGTGGGAACATTTAATAACTGAAAGTTACATGTCAGTGTCCACTAAACTCAAAGGAATTGTGTATTAGAATAGGATCTGAACAACACTGTACAAACCCCCAAAATACTTTTTAAAGTTTGGGACCTACCAGAATGTGATCAACTCTGTCTCGCTTCTTTCTGCCAAATTTAAGCATCTTCTGCCAGTCAGTCTTCTGGCTGTGATCTTTTGTCAGACCATACAGTTTCAGTACTTCTGTTGAGATCAGTTCCTGGTGCACAATGTGAAAAAAGAAACAGACCATGTCATGATGTGTGTACAAGGCATTACAATACATTTGAATTTGTAAGACTGCAAAGGATTTTATTACTGCACTCCATAAAATTTGCCTGTAACCAAGGTGATTTAACAAAGCCTAACTGTGAAGTTTGTTTACTTTTCCAGTCACTTTGGAAGATAAGAAACAAACCAACTAACTCATCTAGTTGCCTTTAAAGGTAAGGCAATTTGTATTTTAAAATAAACACGTAAATGTAGAATGTCTTTCTGCTGGTGGTGACCGTCCTGCAGTACTGTACCTGGATCTTGGAGAGGTCTCCTGTTGTTTTTACTCTGTGGAAGGAGGAGGACTTGACTCGTCTTGGTTTGACCCACTGAGGCTGATCGGCATTGGGGTCCTCAGCATAGATATCCTGAAGTATCTCCCACGTCAGGTCATACACAGCCTGGGGAGCGACAGAGAGAAATGAGATTTGAGTGCATAAATGTATAATATTAAATAAAACTGCGCTTCAAGCTGCAGTAGTTTCTCAGGTTCGGTAATCCCGTAAGTGAACATAAATGAGTCAGACAGCATGTGAAAATGTCAGAATTTACTGCTCAGCAGCTCCAGTATTCACACTCAAAGCAAAGCATCTGACCAACTGAGGCCATTTTTGGAGCAAGAGTCTGAAGTTTGTCAGTAGCAGAGGAGTAATCTCATAGTTGGAAGACAAAGGCAACTGAAATAGCTGAGTAGTCTTGAAAACATCAAGTTGCTAATCAGAGAGGAATCTGCTGAACATTGGAAACTTGTCTGGCATTTAACCTCGGTCAGCTCAGAGTAAGTTCTGTCTTGATGACTACACTGCAAGTACAGCTGCTGTCTGCCTCAGCTGGGTTTATACTTCTGCACTGAATCGACGCTGTACTTACATACCCTGACTTTCACCTCCCAGAAATCTAACTGCAACTTAAAACCATTTCCCTCACTAAAAACAAGGCTTTTATTCACATTAATTTCACAGATAAACAATAAATTGTGAAGTCAATAGAGCCCTCACAAAATAGCATCTTGTGTGTTATTTAGCCTCGCTACATGAGTGTAGGAAAGTTTGCTAGCCTAATTTATGCAGAGAGAAATGTCATAGGCTTATGCTAACAATGTCAGCATGTTGTATATGTGGGGAAAATGTGTGTAGCAAAAGACAACAGTTATGTCTGTAAGCACTTGAGAGTTATAATGGAGTCAAATATTGTGCTTTTGTTTAATAGTGTTGTGATTAATCAATGTTTTATATGTGTTTTTGGAGTGTTAGTTGAATCAATCAAACTTCACTGCATTTCACAGAAACTCAACAAAGCAGCATAAAACCCCTTCTGTCAACTAGCGTTTCAGAGGTGTAATTGCAGAGTGACACAGACACACTGATTGTGGTATTATACACATGCATTCAAGTTTTCAGTGGGCTATCTGTATGGCTGCTTTTGTTATACTTCTTTTTTGATGTTTTACAAGTTCTCCTTTTCACCTTTCTGTAGCTGCGGACACAGAGGGCCTCCGGGTCCTGGCTGCTGGCCTCTTTACCCAGATACTCTTGTGACGGTTTGGGGTTTGGCTGTTGTGCAAGGGTCACTGCTCCCTCTTTCCCAAGGCCGTAGTTCTCCCAGATCTCCTGAGTGGCAGCATGAACCATTTTCTCCACCTCTGCGGCTGAGTGGGGTACCACCATTGCAGGCTGCTCAGGTAATTTGGGGGGCAGGGGGAGAGGCAGCTCAGGTCTAGGTGGAGTTTTTACCTGCGGTTCCCCACCTGATGACGGGACCAGCCCCGTCAGGGATGCTCCAGCTGGTGAGCTAGACCTCCCCAGCCTCGCCTCCTCCTCTTCCTCTCTCTGTTTCTGTTTGAGTCTCTGTTGTTCTCTACGGGAGCTGAGGCCAAAGTCCTCATCAAACCAGTCCTGATCATCACCTAACTCATCCAGCAGTTCACGGCTCAGTTCCAGCTCTGCAAGTCGCTTGGCGAGCTCCTCCTGACCACTGGCACCGAGTACTGGACTCTCCTATTGTGAAAGGAAAAAACAGGAAAAAGTGAATGTCAGGCTCACTTCCAATTTTAGATTCAAACCTTCCATAACTATGAATATCTAACTGAACCATGACAAAACAAGTCCCATTATAAATCATGGTTTTACACAGATTTAAAGATTATTCTTTCTTACTGATGTTTCAGACACAAAAGGTTTCAGCAAAGAGCACCAAAATTCAATAAAGTCTGTCAACATTAAGTTGGACTTTGGCTGAGCACATACCAAAAACAAGGGTTCCCCAGGTCAAATCAACAAGTACTGTTTGTCAGTAACTCTATCGTGTCATAGCTGGTGTTTCCACACAATGAAAAATTCCACAGTTCAATCGTGTACAGTACTGTCACATTTGTAAGGTTTTTGTTCACTCATAGTGATATTCTGATTCTATGACTTTGATATTACACAGGCATGACAATACATGGAGACAATATATTACTATTTGTAGCTTGAATTTTTCAAAATTTTATTGACAGGTTACTAAAGAATCAGAAATATTCACTCACCGGTCGGTTACACAGCTCTGGAGAAGACAGCTCCTCTTTTTCCGCAGGTAGGAAGAAGGGCAGATCATCTTTTTGCGAAGAGAACCATTCTTCTTCTTCAACATTTTCACCAAATAGGTCTCCATTCATCTGGTTGGCAGCTTCTATCTTCTGCTCTTTAGCCTTTTTAATTTCAACAAACTGCTTTAAAGTGTCTTTCACAAAGTTGTTGAGGAGCTTGTCTGCAAATGTGTCTAGTAAGTCTTTGTCCGTCTGTTCTTTCTTAACATCCCTGATACCTGTGGAAAGAGCAGCAAGACTACGCTGGGGTTGTGAGTCTTCTTCGTTCTCAACAAGTGTAGTAATCTCCTTCTGACTCTGCTTCCCAAGGCCAACCGTGTCCAAGTCAGAGATGAGGAGGGTGGTTGGTGCATCTTCAAAGTCTAATATTATGTTGCCATTAGAAATGGGATGCTTGGACTCCTTGTAATGCTGTGAATTGAGGTGTAATCCAGGCTTGTGAGCAGACTCATCTGTTGCCTTTTTATCTCCAGGCCCAAAGACCTTATTAGATGTTTGTTCATTTTCACTCTGTAGATTTCCTTGTTTCTGGGATTTGTGCTCATCTGTATTATGTTTATCTCCACCTTTATCTGACAGACCATCAAAGAATGAATCCTCATCCTCCGTGGTGTCTGTGTAGATCTCATACTTGTCTGGCAGGTGTGTGATCTTGTCTGGAGGAGCAAAGATTCCATGACTCTCATCACACTCAAAGTAAACCACCCCATCATAAGTGCCGTTGTTGCTCCCCTCAGACTTATCCAACTCAACGCCAGCCCAGAAGCCATTAGCAAAGCTGGTTGGACCTTTGAATCTCAGAGTACCGGGCTGAACACCGCCGACAAGAACACGATCTCCGATGGTAAAACTTGGCATTTCATCTTTAACAGGAGAGAGAGGGGTGTGCAAAGGAGAGATGGGCGGTGAGTGGCTGGAATTAACAATATCCTTGCCGTCATGTTTGGAGTCTTCTGTGTGGTTATGAAGATCCAGCAGTCTCCCAGACTGGTGGCTAGCTCCACTAGTCCCCGAATGATGACTCAGTTCTTCAGCTATTTCCTCCTCTACCTCCTCATCCTGGCTGTCGTACGGTGTGGCTCTGCTAGGTGAGTCCTTTCTCGAGCCCTTGATCTCAGTAGGGGACACTGAGATGTGAGAGACAGGCTTGGAACTCTGACGCTCCTCCCTGGGTGAAGAATCCACTGAAGACTCAAAGTCATCATGATAGCCATCTGCTACAGGAGAGGAGGCCTCGACATCCTTTACGGGTGCCTCGTTCTTTGAAGAGAAGGCAACCGAGTCAGGGGAGCAGGAATGGTCGCTGGATGCAGCACTATAGCTTAAATGTTGTGATGTTTTGAGGTCCATTGCAGCTGATTGTGACTTATTAGAGGAGATGATGTTAGATTTTGCAGCTTCCTCAGCTTCAGATATTTCCCTTGTCTTAATTTGTTTATCTTGTTCTAAGCTGACAGATGGGGAGTATCGATGTTCTTCACTCATGGAAGAAGAAACCTGTTTAGATGTAGACAGCTTCTCTTGGGAGTCAAGTCTGTCTTCCTTTTCTAATTTGAAAAGATGTTCAGAATGTCGATCCTCAGATGTGGAGCTCACTTTCACCTCCAGCTCTTCTTGAATGTCAGATTTTTGATAAGACGGAACGTTTTCATCACCAGACTCGATTATCTGTGCCTTGGCTTCCTTAGAGGAAGGTCTTACAAGACCCTCTGTGGACAGGCGGCTCCTGTGTCCTGAGGGTGGACACTCTGGGCTGCCATGTACTGGGGTTGGAGTGACTGTTGGTGGGTCATCATCAGACAATTCTTCAGGCACTGAGGTGGATCTACTGAGATCAGGTTCAGGACGGGCATCTGTCATGAAAGGAAAGGGTCAAATTATTATTGGAACATCTGTTAAAACACACTTTAAAAAACTTTAGGTATATGCTAGTTATGATGAGGACATCACTCACTGTGATCTAATGAAGCATCAATTTGTGTCCTTTCAGAGTCAGAGATTTTGCTGGTTTCTAACCTGAAAAAAAAAAGAAAAAAAAAAAAGATTTGCTTTAATTAAACACCAATTTTTCCTAACTCATATGACAGTATTAGACATATTGTCATGTTTACAGCTGTTCTTGTTACCTGTGAGCAGGTGTTTTAATACTGGACTGCTCTGCGATTGAGGTGGAATCTTTATTCTGAACCTTCGTATCAGATGTCGAGTCTGGCTCCTTGTTCAGTTCTGCCTTTGTTTTCTCGATGAAGTTGTTGTAGCTCTGAAAGGAAAACCAGGAGAGCAACACATACAGACACATTAACAAAAACATAATCATCCAAGTTTGAATGTTCAAACTACATCTCAACATTCAAACAAACACCCATCTAGAAGCACACACTCATACACATTTACCTCCAACTGTTTCAGCAAACTGGCCTCCTGTGCCTTCAGGCGCTCTTTGTGCCTCTTCTTCTGCTCTTTCTTCAGCTGGTAGGCCATAAACTTTCGTTTTCGGAGCTCTTCTTTCAGGGCCTTGATTCGACTCTCTATGTCACTCTGGTCTGAAATGGGTTCTGAAGGAAAATTTTGATGATAAATCACAGTTAGAATGTGAAACAAGCGCCAGATCTCTGATTAGCAAAGGGTAATCCAACTTTGTGCCCACTCGAACTCAAACCCAATTCTTTGGAGATTAGTGTACATTTTCTTTACTAAGAATGTGTTAGGGTCATTTTGGTGCATGTTGCTGTGGCTTGTACACAATGAACAAACAGTATTACAAAGATTAGAGGTTTAAAAAGTGGCCTGAAAATGAATAAAACACATTCAGCTATAATACTGGGCCAGCAGAACTGACTTTACTGGTGCAGTAACTAAGTCCAATGCAAAGTGTTCTCTCCTCCCATCCCACAGCTAAGCAGGTTAGGTATCAAGGAAGTGCTTGCATAATGTATTCCTGGCAGCATCACATTATGCCTGACTACACAGCGCCAGCAATATAGCTGCATTATATCCACTCTCTCTTCTCTCCCCATTCTACCTTCTCCGAGAACTACCAGGAACAACGATACGCCCCCCAAAAATATTACAGTGTATATTCTGTGTATGTGTGTTATGTTGTTGGGTAACTCACCAGTCTGCGTGGGCAGGGGGGATTCAGCTGGCTGAGTGCGGGCCTGGTTGGGGGTCCGGGAGGAGGACCGAAGCTGCATCTTGGTTTTGCTGCTGCCATCCGAAGGAGAGGCAGCAGGGCTGTGGCTGCCTTTGAATGGAGACTGGAGAGACTAAAGAGGAGGAGCGGAAGAGAAAGGAACATTACTCTGGGTATAACAACAGTCAGATGGACTAAAAGAGGCATGCCTGAATTAATATTTTACAAGCACAGTAAACTAACAACTGCTAGTTACCCCCTTGCATGTCCCTCAGAAAATATAAAGCAACACTAAGTATTTTCATTAGTTCAATAAAAACTATAAATAATCCGGAACAGCATCTAAACAGAGTTCTTTGGGATGAAGTCAACTGAAGCCTGTACACTCTCTCGGACATATGAGGGCAGTTTTAGAAAAGCTATATTTACACTCAAAATGAACGCAGCTAGCATCAAACAGGGTGTCTACAGGTATCATATACTTATATTTAATGCTTTTTAAGACCTTTTCAATATAAATTTAACCAAATTCAACACTGATTTTTAGACAAATCATATTTTTCTTATTCAACATTGAGGCTGAGTACAAAGGTAAGTAGTGTATATGTAGTCCTGTGCAGAGGTAGGTTATATGTAGGAGTAAAGAGTATGAAAAAAAGACAGTGTCAGGTTCATTGGTAGGTTTAAGATGTGTAATATTCGTATTTTAGACTTTCAGGCTGAAGAGCTTGACTCATTTTGACAAAAATAAATCAAAAGATGGATAAATTAAATTAAATAAAATGTCTGTGGCAATTAAGACATAGCAAATTCAAATTTAAGACTAATTACTTTTAAGGCCTGATATTTATAAAATGAATTTAACACATTTTAAGAACCTGCAGATACCCTGTTGCAGAGATGAGACTAAATACTGAAATTAAAAAAACATTCATGCGTACTTGTCTGCCAGGTGACTGGGAAGCTGACATAAAGTCCTGGGTGTAATTTGCAGGGCTGCTCTGCACGGAGGCCAAAGGCGTTTCAGGGACTGACGCAGGTTGTACTGGAGATGGGCTTCCTGGCTGCTGGGACCCCAGTCCCTCTGTGTGTATGCTGGACTCAGGCGTTACTGAGGAACAGTCGCCTTCACTCACATACTCTGAAAACAGACAAAACATGAAGTCATTATTATTTGTCCAGATTAATTTTGACCTGATTTTGACTTTAATCCTTTCAAAAAACAGTGAGGATCCCGTTGCTTCACCTTTCTCACTGTCGGTTCTGGGCTCTGAGCTTCGGTGATGACTGGGGCTGGGGCTAATGTCTGAGATCTCCTTTTCCTGACTCTCTGCCCCGTCCCGAGGCGTTTGTCTGTCCCACACAGCCAGGGCCTCTTTTTCCATCCTACGGACCTCTGCCTCTTCCTGGTCGAGACGCTGTTTCCACTGCAGCAGCTCCTCGGCATGGTGACGCCTCTGCATCAGCTGCTGCTCCCGCTTTGTCAGGAACCTGAGGAAGAGGATGGTAAGAATAATGGGAAAAGAGAATAAAGAGATGAGGAAGGAGTGGAGGAAGAGATGATGGTGAGAGGAAAGGTGAGGAAATGAAAAAATTAGGGAAGAGACAGGAAAAAGATGGGTGATGAAGGAGGTAGCAGTGAAGAGGGAGAGAAGAGTTTGACAAAAACATTTAGCGTAAAGAATGTTAAACATGACATCGCAGAAGCAAGCAGACCCAAATCACCTGGACATCAAGTTATCACTGCAAACTCACCTCAAACCTCTAACTCAGACACACACACATACACACCCAGTACATGCTTTACTTATTTATTTCCCTAGAACAATCATCCAAATAAAGAAGTGTACAAGCACCCATTAAATAACAAGCATTAAGTGATGACATGTCACTCGGGAGAAAAGGAGAGCAGGGAAATAACAGTGAAGATGCCAGATTCATGCATCAGACTGAAACCCAGGGGTTGAACGCTGATTGGGTGCAGTCACACACACCTTAAACACACGTAGCAGTTAAAGCAGATAGAAAAACATCTGTATGAATGTCTCTTTAGAAAGACATCTTCTTCCCCTGAACAATGAAGAAACATACAGAATTTCTAATTTCTAAGTCTATTTTACGAACATTTCTCTGTAGATGTATCAGAATAAAGTGCAGTCAGGTATAGCTGTTGTGAAATGTGGCCCCCCACAGCTTTGGGTGCCATTACAGTGCAGTATTATTTAGCCTTAATCTAATTCAGAGGCCCTTCTCTCGACCTAATGTATACTGATGACAAGCCAGATACTAAAGAACCAGACTGGGAGGTTCTTCTAGTGCCTTCCCAAACTCTATTACAGCCAATGGCCATCTGTACTTATTATCCAATCCTATGCAACAGTTACCTAATAAAGAGGGCTAGTTAAGATTTACTGGGCTCATTAAAGAGATAGACTACTCTATCTCTGGTCTGTTCTCTGCAAGAAGTCCTTTACTTCCATGTCATAGTGTGGTTTTATCTCAGAACATTTTGTATCAACAACTGGGGCTGGAGCTGACCAGCCAACAGCCACAATATAAGGACACTGAAGAGAGATGCACTGCAACATTCATTTCAAGAGGCAAGAAAGAAAGAGGGGAAGAGTTGTTAATTTAACACCACAGAAATCAGTGAAATCCCAGTGTTGAGTCTGAGATTCCCATCCAACAAGGAAGGCTCCTATTTAAAATAAACACAACCCTTAACCTTCACAAAAAATGGATCTCACCTCTAACACTGTCAATGTAACCATTTTGTTTTTGGTTTATATTACTCTTCAACCAAAATGCTTTAATGCACATAGTAATGTAATTTAACCAGAAACACTGGCATAAAAAATATGTTTTAAGTGAAGCTGTTAAAGGGTTAGTTTATTTCAGCGAGGCAGCCTTCCTTGGGCACTTTTCAAACTTTCACTCAAACTCTTCCCCCGACAAATTTCATCCTGGAAACAAACCAACACATCCAATCAGTCATCATTCACCGCCCCCCACCCACACAACGTCCCAGTGCCAGTGGATGAACACAAGCATGTTCCATGGGGGGGGGGGGGGGGGTGAGGCAGGGCAGGGCAGGGCTAGGTGGAAGTGCTGGGCAAGAGGTAGAGAGCACTATACAGTACCTGACCAACTGGTTGTAGATAAAGAGCTGGAATTTAGGGTGGAGGTTGGGAAGACAGACACTGAGGGAGGCCCAGTGGTGGGCCGTGAACACAGAGAAGAAGTAGTGGACAGGGGAACAGTGTCTATAACACACAAGCATGTGACAGACAACGTCAAAAGAGTCGCACAAACACGGGAATGGAAACAAACAACACACAATGCAGAAGGGGGGGGAAACATTAAATACACAGGAGACGTAAAGGGAAAGGACAAGTAGAGAGAAAGGGAGAGAGAAGAGCAATATGAGCAAATGTGGTTTTAATTGCACCCAAGGTGTCAGTCTGACAGGTTTCTGTTAGAATATGGCTACTTTTAGATGAATATGTTTCGGACAACCATGAACATTTAAGCTAGCCTGTGGGTATGGAGCACGGGGGGTTGGTTGGGGGTATGATCACTACAAAACCTGCTTATGGAGGGGGTTAAATGATAGAGTTATCAGTAAACCGCTTTAGATGAAGTGATTACAACATTGTTAGTTTGTTATATCAAGCTGAATATAGACAGTGGTAATAGAGCGTGACAGAGGGAAGGGAAGAAACAATGATAGTTTATTAAAAAAGGACCATAGCAAGCAAGCAAGCCAGTAAATGCATGATCTGACAGAAACATGTTAACACTTTTTTGTTTTTGTCAGATCCTCTTAATAATTTTCTTTTGCTGTGATCTAAACCTAATGGTGGTGATTATAAACTTCATAATGGATTACAATTAACAGGAGCACAAATCCCAAATTGTGTTGCTACTATAACTTTAAACAAATCTAGACCTAAAAATGTTGAAGTGCTACCACGGATGTCCTGTGATTCAGAGCCAAGTTATAAATCCTAAACCTCAGAACAATTAACCCACTTACTGGAGCTACCCGGTCATAAGAGGCTCGACAATCACCTGACCAAAGCTGTTGGCCAAGTCTAAAAACCCTGGAGGATGTACAGGAACTCCAAGCACATGCAGTTACTTGTCAATGCAAGAGGAAGTGGGTAGAATAAAAATGATGGTATGCACAACCAATGTCTGTATTATCTGGAAAATAACTGCCTCTGCAACTGAAAGTTTTAGTACTAACATTACATAGTGTTACAATTATTTAAGTGTAATACTGTGATGTTTTTGCTTTGTTACATTTATTTAGGACTGCAGCAGATCACTCTCAGATTCTCCTACAAAGTTATAGCTTGTACTAATCTGAAGTTAAGGAGGCATTGTAGCAGAGAGTCTGGATTCTGGTCTGCTTTGGAGGGAGAACAACATGGAGCATGCTTATCTTCACATCCACACATTCACACATCCACAGCATTTTAAACAGCAAAGTTAAGATGGCATGCACTATTAGTATATTCATTAGTTTAGTTCCTAGTTGAGGTTAAAACCTTGTGTGTAGAATTACAATATTTCTGATTTTTATGATTTGTCATGGCAGAATGAATACAAAATAAATGGCACTTTTGCAAAAAGCATAGCACGTCACTAATTCAGAGCCACTCAGGTGTAAAATATATCAAAACAAAGCTTTACCAATTTTAATAAAAGCCCTACCACAGGAGAAAGGCGCAAGGAAACAGTAATACTAAATCATAGTCTGTATCAACACATAGACCATGTTAATGGACTCAGACTGTGATCAGGGGCAAAAACTAACCAGAAAAGTAAAAAGAACTGAGCATTCCTTCAATTTTTTGAAAATATTTTTACAAGCACAAGAAAAGTAAAACCCAGAGGGGAAAAGCAGCAGGACACACCAGGAGTAAGCACTGTTAAAACACTGACAGGGGAGCAAGACTTCTGATAATTCACTAGTTAAATTCTCAGTAAGAGGAGAAAATGCAGTTAATAAATGAAAAATGAAAGAAAAGCCTTTACTTCTCATCCATGTGACAGCGCATCTTCTTCAGCTTCTGCATGATGCTGCTGGTCTCACTTCCAGAGATGGAGAGTGAGGGAGAGGGGCTGCGAATATCTTCAGCATGTCTCATGTCTGGGGAGGCTGCCTCAGACACAGGGGTTTCTGACACAGGGGTTTCCTGGAGGATGGATGAATGGACATACAGACATGCCAAGTATTAGTGAAGCCAGTAAAAAAAATGGCAGCATGTACTGTAGTTATTTGTTTCTTTCTTGATTCCATTAAGATCCAACCTCTGTAGGACAACAACACTGCAATGAAACCCCTTAAAGCTATATGTTCCTAGGTATAGGCTGTGACGGTGATTAGTAACTGCTGCACTACTCACAGGTGGCGCTTCACCCCCGGCACACTTGAGACGCTCCTTCAGTCTTAATGTAGAGTTTCTCATCCGCTCAATCTCCTCCTGCTGCTTCAGCAGCAGCTGCCTTTCCTTCCTGGCTGCTTTGTTGGCCTCCTGAAGTCGTTTGATCTCAGCCTGGGAACATGAGTACAGCGGGAGAGAAAGTTGGTTAAGATCACAGTATACCTCAAAGCTTTATTGCCACTTAATGTCAGTATATTTCCTTCTGCATGTACCTGTTCTTGTTGCAACTTCATCAGAAGGCCCCTCTGCTTCTTCCTGATGGGTGGCATTTTGTCATCCTCTCCCTTGTCCCTCAGCTTCTTTTTCTGGTGCTCAAGCCAGGCAAGCTCAGTTCTGGTCTTCTCTTTGAGGGCTTTCTGGCGAAGATGCAGCAGAGAGCTCTGGTGCTGCAGTCTTACCTCCTCGTCCTTCATGTACTGACGCACCATGTCCATGGTGAACTGGGAAAAGCTGTCCTGTCCGCCAGAAAAGGCCATGTTTGCATCCTGAGACTGCAGCAGAGCAAAGGTAAAAAGATTGAGGTTATGAGGAAAGGAGATTAAAGGGGGAGCAAGGGAAAACAGGAGGAGTAAAGTGAGGTAATGAAAAGTTATTATGTGTGAGTCAACAAAAGAAAGACAAAAACCACATGTGCAACAAGGAACATCCACGAGGAAGGATATGCACTGGCAAAAGTTTGTACGATGACTCCGCCCCCTCACCTTTAAGATACTGTGTGCCCCTGAAACTGATGTCATGGTGTGACTGGCTCCATCATCCTCTGATTCTTCATGGTGGCGGGACTTCTTCTCCATAGTTCCACGGCGGTGCGCCTCAGACGGCAGCAGAGAGCGGAAGGAGCGCTCTTCTATCTCATCCTCTGTCATGGACTCATCAAACTTCAGGGAATACTCTGTTGCCACTGACGTACTGTCTCCTGGAGGGCCATAAACAAGATGAGCTCAGTGTAAGTGTGATTTTTAGGTGGCACCGAGTGTTCACACAGTTTTGGCTTCAGTACAAAATAAATCATAGTAATGAGAATTTCACATTTTCTCTAACAGTGGTGGTCACACTTATGTAACAGCAGTCTATCCCAGTTGAACAAATAATAGGGCAATGCTGTGTGCACATGAAAAAACTTTTAAACTATGAACTGTGGTTGTCATCTGATACCTTTCTCATCCACTACAGAGGGGACGCTGTCACTGCAGAGGGAATCATTTGCTGCTGTAAGAACTTCCTCCTCTATGGAGCTGGTGCCTGCTTCCTTGTCCGTCCTCTCTTCAGCTCCACCTTTCCTCCGTTTCCCCTCTGCTGTTTCTTTTTTCGCCCGTTCTCTGCGGTCTGAGGAGACATGTGACGGGCTATGGTGGCTGCTGGAGTCTGCACAACTAAGGAACGAGGCAAAGGACAGAGTTAGTGTCTACTTTGATTTCTCTTCCTGAAACCAGAGAAACTAGTGCTACATAAGAAGCCTGTGTGATACCTGAGGTTGGGTCTTCTGAAGGACAGAGAGTCAGAGTGACTGAGGCTGTTCAGGGAAGACAGCGGTTCCTCTGTCCTGGTCCGTCTGCTTGACACCTCACTAGGGAAGCTGTAAGAGAGCATGCAGAAGACACTTAAAAATGAAACAGATACTAAATTTAAAATGAAAGTTCAATTTAGTATGCAGTCTCTATGATCAAACACAGAAGGTGTTTTTAGTTTACCTGTCAGAGTCATTTTTTTCCTGTCGCTGCTCTGAATAGGAGCTCTGCTCTTCTTCCCGCTCGTCCAACATGGAGGAATCGGAAACATCACGAGGGACAGCCAGAGCTCCTGCTACCTGCGACCGCGCCAATTCTGTCATCTGACGGACAAGAACACAATCTGATGAGTCCTATACTGGATTTTACACTTTCCTCTGCATTTATTGTTATTTCTTTACTGAAACTCAACAATCAATCAGCTTTTGTTACAAAATGAAGACATGGGCTGTTTTCCAGGCAGAGAGGAAGGCAGGGATTGCTAACCTCCTTGATGTGTCGGGCAGTGTCGGCTGTGTACCGTGCTGCCTCAGCCTGTTGACTCATCATCTTCGTAGTTGCCTCCTGGAGGCCCTCCAAGGTCTCTTTTTGATTTGCAGCCAAGTTTTCCTGCAGTTCTAAATGAGCCTGGACAAAACCAAGCATGGACATCACACACACAGAAAAATAAAAGCACTCATACCTTAGAATTCAAAAGGTGAGGAAGCAAACACTAAAGGTATTATCTGCAAATGCACATACAGTACAGGCCAAAAGTTTGGACACACCTTCTCATTCAATGCGTTTTCTTTATTTTCATGACTATTTACATTGTAGATTCTCACTGAAGGCATCAAAACTATGAATGAACACATGTGGAGTTATGTACTTAACAAAAAAAGGTGAAATAACTGAAAACATGTTTTATATTCTAGTTTCTTCAAAATAGCCACCCTTTGCTCTGATTACTGCTTTGCACACTCTTGGCATTCTCTCCATGAGCTTCAAGAGGTAGTCACCTGAAATGGTTTTCCAACAGTCTTGAAGGAGTTCCCAGAGGTGTTTAGCACTTGTTGGCCCCTTTGCCTTCACTCTGCGGTCCAGCTCACCCCAAACCATCTCGATTGGGTTCAGGTCCGGTGACTGTGGAGGCCAGGTCATCTGCCGCAGCACTCCATCACTCTCCTTCTTGGTCAAATAGCCCTTACACAGCCTGGAGGTGTGTTTGGGGTCATTGTCCTGTTGAAAAATAAATGATCGTCCAACTAAACGCAAACCGGATGGGATGGCATGTCGCTGCAGGATGCTGTGGTAGCCATGCTGGTTCAGTGTGCCTTCAATTTTGAATAAATCCCCAACAGTGTCACCAGCAAAACACCCCCACACCATCACACCTCCTCCTCCATGCTTCACAGTGGGAACCAGGCATGTGGAATCCATCCGTTCACCTTTTCTGCGTCTCACAAAGACACGGCGGTTGGAACCAAAGATCTCAAATTTGGACTCATCAGACCAAAGCACAGATTTCCACTGGTCTAATGTCCATTCCTTGTGTTTCTTGGCCCAAACAAATCTCTTCTGCTTGTTGCCTCTCCTTAGCAGTGGTTTCCTAGCAGCTATTTGACCATGAAGGCCTGATTGGCGCAGTCTCCTCTTAACAGTTGTTCTAGAGATGGGTCTGCTGCTAGAACTCTGTGTGGCATTCATCTGGTCTCTGATCTGAGCTGCTGTTAACTTGCGATTTCTGAGGCTGGTGACTCGGATGAACTTATCCTCAGAAGCAGAGGTGACTCTTGGTCTTCCTTTCCTGGGTCGGTCCTCATGTGTGCCAGTTTCGTTGTAGCGCTTGATGGTTTTTGCGACTCCACTTGGGGACACATTTAAAGTTTTTGCAATTTTCCGGACTGACTGACCTTCATTTCTTAAAGTAATGATGGCCACTCGTTTTTCTTTAGTTAGTTGATTGGTTCTTGCCATAATATGAATTTTAACAGTTGTCCAATAGGGCTGTCGGCTGTGTATTAACCTGACTTCTGCACAACACAACTGATGGTCCCAACCCCATTGATAAAGCAAGAAATTCCACTAATTGACCCTGATAAGGCACACCTGTGAAGTGGAAACCATTTCAGGTGACTACCTCTTGAAGCTCATCGAGAGAATGCCAAGAGTGTGCAAAGCAGTAATCAGAGCAAAGGGTGGCTATTTTGAAGAAACTAGAATATAAAACATGTTTTCAGTTATTTCACCTTTTTTTGTTAAGTACATAACTCCACATGTGTTCATTTATAGTTTTGATGCCTTCAGTGAGAATCTACAATGTAAATAGTCATGAAAATAAAGAAAACGCATTGAATGAGAAGGTGTGTCCAAACTTTTGGCCTGTACTGTATATAGTTGTGTGTATGCATGCATGTGTGCTGATGATGTACCCTGGCCACTCTCTGCCTGTTTTCCTCCAGCTGCAGCTGTGCCTCCAGTGCTTCCCTTTCAGCCTTGATCTTCAGCTCATAGAGTTCACGCGCATGACTCTGCTGCCTGGCCTGCAGGGTCAAAGGTCAGTGAGCAGGTCAATACAGGGCATCAATACAGGCATTAGTGAGGTAGTAAGTCACTCAAATGTATGGAGGCCAAAAAAGCTCTTTAAGTATTTGTCATGTAAATGTTATGCAGTGACAATAATTCATTTAAGTCCCCGATAAATACAATTATTGGGAATTACTTAATTATATGTAACTGACATTTGTATTGTACAGAAAAAAGCACAGTTTAGAGGATGTGCTGCCTTAAAATCATTAATAATAAGCTATATCCAAAATGTCAAATTGTCACCGTGTCAGCCAAAAACAAAATGATGGAAGCTGTGTGTAAATACATTACTTCAAAACACATGTGTCAGAGACTTTCCAGATTTTGGCCTTTAGTGACAAACCCCTTCTTTACCTTGAGCATCTGGGCCAATGACACACTCTCCTGCTGTGCCATCGACACACCCATCACCCTCTCCACGTCGCCCAGCTGTCGGACTGACTCCTCGATGGACTCCAGGTACTGAAGCTCTGCTGCCATGCGCTGCTGCAACACGGCAGGTGAATACTGTAGTTCACCTGGGAGAAAGGAAGGGCAGAAAGTGAGAAAGATTAATAAAAATAGATGTTGGTGGAGTGTGGCACTTAAGAAATAACTAGATTTAAAAATAAGTCGCAACTTTTACCCTTAGCTGAAGTTGTGGCTTCAGCTAAGGGTAAGACCTGGTACACTCTGACTGGAAAGCTTTTTTTTTTTTTTTTTGGTCATTTACTTTTTATTGAGTTTTCATTTAAGGTATTCATACAAATGAAAAGAGACACACCCCAACAAGGAGGGGGAGAACACAATAAACTAAACAACATAAGAACAAACATCCCGGGGAGGATCTGGAGGGTCTGAGTTTTGTATATCTGGCATTGTACTTAAATATTCGTGTGCACTTATATCTTTTATTTCTTAGAATTACATTTTAAATTCTCAAGTCTACATTCAAGAGAGAGAGAGGGGGAAGGAACAGCAAAATGGAATTAAAATGAATTTACATATTCACAAACACTCTTTGCATAGATATATTATACAAAGTCAGGCCTTATAGTTGACACATGAGCAAGCCATTTGAACCAATATTCTTCAAAGATATCTACTTGATTTCTTAGTTTGAATGTAATTCTTTCCATTGTGTATATGTTATAAACTATATCAATCCACTCATTCATAGTTGACACTTCCGTTTTCAGCCACTTTTTAGTTAAGGCTTTTTTACAGGCAACCAATAACACTCGAATCAGATAGTTATCTGGCTTTGCCCAGCAAAGTTCTTCTAGATCACCAAGGTACATGGTTTTGAAATTGAGTTTGACCTTCTTCTTAAAGGCTGCTTCCAAGACACCATGGACAGCTCTCCAAAATGGAGCCACAGAGGGGCAATTCCCAAAAATATGAAAGTGGTTAGCTACTACATTGCCACATGATCTCCAGCAAGCTGTCTGATTAGAATACCCAGTCTTTTGCGCTGGAGTAGAAAAGAAACGAGACATGTTCTTCCAACTAAATTCTCTCCAGAAGAGAGAACTTGTCGTTTGCCATCGCTGTTTGCAGATCCTGTTCCATTCTTCCTGTGTTATTGTAATATTGCCCTCTGCTTGCCATCTTGCTTTGACAGCCAAAGTATTGTCTCCTTTAAGATTTTGTAAAGCTACATATAATTTAGATATTATTTTTTGATATTTGGCATCTCTATAGGCCTTCTGAAAAATGTCAAGTATTTCATGTCCCATTTGAATTTGGTTATCCTTTAGAAATTTCTTTCCAATAAAGTCTCTGATTTGTAGATATCTGAAATGGTCCTGATTTTGAAGCTTGAAATTGTCTTTCAGGTCCTGGAAGCTTGAAACCTCACCCTGATTTAGAAGTGTACAATACACAGTAAGCCCATTTTCTGTCTAGCATTTGAATCTGGTATCATATGTGCCCGGTCTAAAGACTGGGTCGTAAGCAAACCATTTAAAAATTTCAACCCTGCCTTTCAATTGGTGCCTGCTTATTATACTATTCCATGTTTTTAAAACACTCGTTATCCAGGGATTATTGGGATCTGTAAGATGGTTGGCTGCTAATGAAGGATCTCCGACTAACATATTGACTGGTATTCCTCTGCCCATTGAAGTTTCTATTTCTTTCCATCTTGAACTATAGCTGGGTTTACACCACCCGATTAGTGGTCGAATTTGAGCTGCTCTATAATAGTCCTTTAAACATGGGAGGGCCAACCCTCCCCTCTCCCCTGCTAATTGCAAACTTTTAAATTTTACTCTAGGTTTCTTCCCTGCCCAAACAAATCTAGAGATGACTTTATCCCATTCCTGAAAATACTGCTCTGGCTTTCCAATAGGTACTGATTGAAATAAGTATAAAAATCTTGGTAAGATATTCGTCTTTACTACCTCTATACGAGAACTAATACTTACATAAGGAATTAAATTCCAGCGATTAACATCTGCTATAATTTCCTTTTTGAGGGGGCCGTAGTTGATTTCTTCTAATTTGGATATGTCTGTAGGCAAGTTAATTCCCAAATATTTTACAATTTTCTTATCCCAATCCATTCGATACCTAGAGCGAAGATACTGGGGGGGGTTGTAGCCCATCCTAAGAATCTGTGTTTTTTGCTCATTCAGTTTATAGCCCAAATATGATCCAAATTCAGTGAGTACCGACATCAACTCAGGAAGAGACTCTGTTGGACTGGAAAGATATACAATAATATCGTCTGCAAAAAGGGCCAATTTTTGTTCCCCCGCTGCCATTTCTATGCCTTTTATATTCTTGTTCTGTCTAATCCATTGCGCCAGTGATTCTATAAAAATTGCAAATAAAAGAGGACTCAATGGGCATCCTTGTCTTGTGGATCTCTCCAATGCAAAAGAATCGGTGAGCTCGCCATTAATTTTCAGTCTAGCTGATGGTCGATTGTATAGAGCTTCTATCGTCTTAATAATACGCTCATTAAACCCTAGTTTTTCCATGACTTTAAATAAAAATTTCCATCTAACCGAATCAAAAGCCTTTTCAGCATCTAAACTTATTAGCATGGCCTGCAATTTCTTTTCTTTTATATGTCTAATTATTTGTAAAGATCTTCTGATATTGTCATGGGTCTGACGTGTCACCACAAATCCTGTTTGGTCCATGTTAATTATTTGGGGTAAAATATTTTCAAGTCTTTTAGCAATTATTGAAGTGAACAATTTGTAATCTAGATTAAGTATACTAATTGGCCTATAGTTTGCACAATCTAATTTATCTTTTCCTTCTTTCGGTATGACTGAAATAATCGCTTCTTTCCAAGAGGCTGAGGTTTCTCCTTTTGTCAAAACCCAGTTAAATGTGTTTAATAGAACTGGCGTCAGAACCTCTTTCAGACTCTTGTAGAACTCAAAGGAGAATCCATCCGGGCCCGGGGACTTATTAGTTTTCAATCTGGATATAGCTGAATATATTTCTATTTTAGTTATTTGTGAGATTAATAATTTGTTTTGATCATCTGTAAGGACCGGCAAATTCAATGATTCAAGCAGTGACTCCATTTTTTTATCATTTTCAACCTGAGGTTGTGAATATAATTTTTCATAGTACTCCTTAAAACTATATTTTATTTCCTTCGTTTGGTGATGGATATTGTTTGTTTTTGAGTCTCTTATTTTAAATATTGTGTTGTCTGCCTGCTGTTTTCGTAATTTATAGGCCAATAATTTTGTGTATTTACTACCTCCTTCATAATATTTTTGTTTGGTGTATAGTAGTTTCCTTTGAATTTCTTGTGCATATATTTCTTCAATCTGGTTCCTTGTTTTTGATATTTCCACTTTTATTTTAGGATCCATTGAATTCATGTGCTCAGATTCTATTTTTTTCAATTCAGTTTGAAGAGTGATAAGTTTTTCTGCCCTTTGTTTTTTAAGGAAAGATGTTATTGTGATCACCTTCCCCCTCAGTACAGCTTTACATGCATCCCAGAGCACTGGGGGAGACACCTCTCCATTGTCATTATGTTCTAGGTAGTCTGATACTTCTTTGGCGAGCTTTTCATTCATTTGTTTATTCAGGATACTAGAATTAAATCTCCATTGAGTAAGCTTCCTTATATTGCTTGTTGTTAATGACAGATATATTGGGCAGTGATCTGAAATTTCCATTGTACCAATATGACAATTTTGCACCCTGCTGGCATCCGTTCCAAAAATTAAAAAATAATCAATTCTTGAATATGTTGAGTGGGGGGGTGAAAAGAAAGTGAAGTCTTTAACTGATGGATTTAGGAATCTCCAAATGACTGGAAAGCTTTTTTATATATGACCCAGCTGAAATCACAAGTACTTAAAGCTCATGTGCATTCAAACCATTTTTATTTACCTGTGGTCTTGGTCTCTGCTCTACCACTGTGACCTGTGGTGCCTGGGTTTCCATTATTTGCCCCCAGAGAGCCACTTCTCACCAGCTCACTGGGAGAGTCTGCTCCTGGAGGAGAACCAGAGTATGGAGAGCCTGACAGAGAAGACTGTTTGGGCCTGGCTGCTGAGGACCTCTTACTGTCGAGTCCCAAACTAGAAATATATTTAGAAAAACAGAGACAGAAAAAAAGTTCAGGTAAGTAAAAAATAAAAAAATCATTAACTCTTATAAAACCAGGCATCTCATCTTAATTGGATTTGTTTGCAGCATTCAGGTTGATGGGTAATTGACTTATATCTAACACTCGTTAAGATGCTTTTAAAACCATACAGATTCTATACAACACAGTGTTTTGTTGTTTTGTTAAAACAAATTCTAAAATGAGTTTTTGAGTCATATATATGAAAAAGGGATGTTGCAAGCTTGCAGAGAGTGCTGACCATTTTGAATAGAAGGCCAGCTTAACTACATGATAAAGAAAGAGGGGGGCCCTTGTCCTGCAAAACCTAGGACTGACTGAGGCAGCATATCCCTACTGTGAGAGGCCCAGACTATGAATGGCTATATTGTGCTGCTCAGAGATGATCAGAGGCCAAGGACGATGTCTGCAGAGATCAGGATACACTCCCCCAAGAAGGAAAGCACACTGTGGCACCTTTTTTCTCGAAGGATAACAAACTGGCTCAATTCATAAGTCATAATGCAACAATAGTACTACAATCTCAATGCTTAAACAGTTAGCTATCATAACAGAAACTGATATAAATGCAATCTGCCAAAAGCTTACAGACCTCATTAAAAGCTATAGTGATGCATGTGCTGTCACGACAGAAAAGAAAACACTAATGACTATTAAGACACCACAAGTTAAAAAGCAACCTACTTTGTAAATGCTGCAAAGTAGGCTACAATCCTGTCTGAATGTCTTGCCTTTATCGTGTAAGGCACACAGGTTCCACAGAGTGGCAGGAATCTGTCACCTGGGCTTTGGAGTATCATTAACAGGCTCTAATGTCACTACTGGGCACTCAGATTAAAAGAAAAAAAAACCCTCTCTCCTTTCCTTTGGCAGCAGGCCCAAGCTGTGGCGGAGCTGGCTGACCCAACCAACAACCCTGCAGGCCCCCAAAACAAAATAACCACTGTTTTCTGTCTCGGGTCGAACTGCAGCCTCCTCCTGTTGCTGGGCACTAAATGGCTGCTTAAACCCTCAAGTCTTCAACAGAAACAGCAAGCCACAAGACTGTTTAGACTGGCAGCCTTAACTAGGGTTCTCTGAATGTAGTTTAGTAATTAGACATGCCCGGATAAATTAACCTCTTACTGATTATATACCAAGTGGAGGTTTCTGAGCGGTTGCAACAGCAACAACTGAGATGACCCAGTGCTGAAAAGATCCCATTCATGTCTAAGTGTACACAGATTTTTAAATGACATTTTAGTTCCACTTGGAAATACACATGGCTTTGCATTCTTACAATATTAATTTGTATCCAGTAAAAACAAAAGTACCCAAAGATAAAGAAACATCTATAACTTATATCTAAACCAGCATCAAAATATCCCCGTGTAAGCATATAGCACCACTGCTCTTCCCACAAAGCAATGTTTCACTGAAGGTTACAGAAAACCAGGAAGGAAGGAAATACCAGAGACAGTTGGATGTATAGGTAATTCAAACTTGTGGGAAAACAATTCACCATTCATTCACCTCTCTGCCGCTGCACAGTCTCTTTAGTTTTATATCTTAGAGTTGCTTTTAACTGAAAACACTCAGTGAAACATTGCAGGTGAAAAGACTGACAGCAGTAGACAAAACCAAAACCAACAAACGTCCCTTTTAATGTAGAGAGACAGTGATCGTTACCTTTGGTGAGAAAGCCCTGATGTTTCCCCTATGGTGTCATTAGAGTGGACACTCTTGGCCTGGCTGTGGGCAGAGCTTTTGTCTGAAGCTCTCTTCCTGGAGTCAGAGGATAACTCCTCAGAGGGAGGTGAGCAGGAGCTCCTTTGCTCTTCCACCAGAGTAGCATCACTCTGGTCTGATGCTGTGCCTGCAGAGCAGTGGAGTAGTTATATTGTGCAGCAATGTCGTTTGTTTATTGCAAAAACAAAACATTTGGCCATATTTTCTTTATAAAGAAATATAAGAAAATTAAAAATTCAGAGTTGTCCAAGAAATTCTGCAAAAGTATTCATTCTTACCTCTTCTTCTGCTAGAGTGCTTGGAGAAGGGTGAGGAGCCAGATGTTGAACCAGAGGAAAGATGAGGTGAGTGAATAGATGAGTGAAAGGATGAATGGTGGGAGTTTATGCCTCCTGTGCTTTTGTCATAAGGAGACCTTCTCATCAGCTCCTCAAAGTGACTGTTCACACTGATTAAGAAAGAAGAGATGTACGATAAATCACTCTAAAATAAAATTCAGGAATTTGACACAACACAAAAAATTACATTAACATTACTTTTTTTTTTTTTTACTTTAAAAATGACTCAAAACAATTAAGCGATTATCAAATGAGTTGGCAATTAATTAAGTATTTGACAACTAATGGGTTAATTGATTAATCGTTGCAGCTCTACTGTTTATTCTAAGAAACCTGAAAGGAAAAATCTATGAACTCAGGAACTCAGGGGGAGATTGCTGTCTGACAGGACTGCATGCGCCTTCTATTTGTGTGACATGAATGCCATCCAGTGGTCACTTTAAAAAGTGACATCCACTTTTTTTTCTCTTACCTGCGTGAATTTGTGCCTCTCTTTAACTGGCTACTGGCTCCGCTGCTATGTGACGACACAAAGTCATCTTCATAGACGGCTGCGTCTACAGGGCCATTTCCAGAGTGCAAAGAATGGCCCGAGGGAGAGTTCCTCTCACTCGCTACAGGACAACGGAGGAGAAATATTTATCATCTAGCACAAACACCACAGTTTTACTATGACAAATACTCTGTGAAGCTGTGTCTGTGGTTTACCCATAGACAGTAACAACACCACTCTTACTATTTCTCATCAGACGCATATTTTTTCTCATAACCTACATCTAATATGGAAAACTTAACAGTAGTGCAAAGGTACTCATATGTGAACTAACCTTTAACGTGGTCGTGAAGGTTCTTAGTAAAAATGTTGATTACGCTTAGAGGGCTTCCTTTGTTCAGCTCCTCCCAGGCTGCTTTGCTGCCATCTTGCTGTGCAAAAGGTGAGCTGAGGGCCGAGCACCTTGCTGCCTCCCTCTGGAACTCTGACAAGCGCTGATAATCCCTTCTTTGACCTGCACAGTATTCCACTGCCTCCAGGCGATCTGCCAGTCTAGGTACATGATTCTTGGAGGGGTGAGGCAGGATGGCCTCATCCTCAGAAAAACTCCCTTCACTCAGAAGAGGACCCTCACTGATGGAACCAGCACTTGAGTCATGGAGATCTGTCCGATTCTTATCCTGGTCCTCCATCAATCCATATCCTCTCCTTTGTTCCATTCTATCTGTTCTCTCTACCTTTTCCAAGCCGTTGACGAGGCCCCTCCTGTTGAGAATGGGCCCTGTTACATCAGCAGAAGTTGTTTGTGGATTGTTAAAATTGCAGTGTGTACTCTTCTTCTCTTTCTGTCCCCTGAGGGCGTGTAGATTGCCTACTCCTGGAAGCGCTGTGCCATTGTATGAACTATGACCTGTGCTAGTCAAAATCCTCTGGATCCTCAACGCTACATCTTCATTTTCTGTGGCAGCTGCATTTGCCCAGCATCCATCATCAAGATTAACTTGAGAGGGCCTGATAGTATCAACATCCATTGAAGTTTCTGTACCAAAGTTGATCCCCTCTCCAGCAAGCTTCCTTGCCTCACTCTCTATACGGTTGGAGAGGGACACGGCTGTGGCCTTGATGGCCTCAATGCGGGACATCTTGGACCTCGGCCTGTTGCAAGGTGATGTGGCTGGCCGCTGGGTGTGCTTGACATCACTAGTTGCTGCTGCAGTCTCCAGCCTGAGAAGCTGAGAGAGGAGACGATCACCAAAAGGGGCTAGCGCACTGCTGCTCGGACCAGTCGCAGGTCGAACAGCTGGGCTCAGACGGTCAGGCTGAAGCAAAGAGGAAACTCCAACATCCAGATCATTCCTGCAATAAAGGGAGCAACAAAGAATGAAGAAGTTAAGAGAGACAAAAAGGTGTCTACAGCTTGCTTGAAAACAGAGATCAAATTGAACATATGTAAGTGTATTTATCATGCTTGCAACTGAAGAAAAAGCAAATGAGAGAACTTTCATTGTGAGTACCCAGAATTAATTTTCACTTGATATTTGTGCCTTCTCTCAATCCTGTAAAAACACTTTTATTTATGCAGCATTAGCCCCTTTAACTCTGTCTTTACACTGTCGCACCATTATCCCGCCCCACTGCTCTGTATAAAAGGTACAATTCCAGAAATAGGTGACAGAAATGTGTCACCTTTAAGCCGACAGCAGAGGCACTAACAGCCCCAAATTGACGTCTTTGTAAAGGGGATAGGCGGCAGGACGGGACCAAGGATGGGATGGGTGTGACATTTTGACAACGTGCTATGTGTGACCCACTGCCGGGAGATTTAAATCACAGCCAATAACAGTTAGCAGCTAACTCAAAGAAGAACAGCAACCAAAAATGTCCGCAAACTGGGGAGACAATGAGGTCAGGGAGCTCCTAAAGTTACCCTCCAAGCAAAGGACGAGATCAACTGCCATACAACAGCAACAGTAAATGATTGCTTATAAAGTGCACTAGAGGCTGACACTTTTATGTTACACGTCTGACAGTTGTAAATTGTAAAGGTGGAACTTAAAGGGTCTTCGTTGAGCCTCTGTAGCTGGATCTCTAACTAAAAAGGGCTATAGCTTTAGCATAAATGTATTCATCAGCCTGATTTTTTAACTGTTAATGGTACAGAACATAATGAAAAGATAAGAACATACACTTTAACTGGACGGAAAACTATGAATCAGAATTACAACAATCACTGAATAAACAGAGAAAGATGATTATTACATCTGTTTACACACCCTCATCTTAATTTCCAGTCAATTATCTGAGATGTTCTTTCATGCATCTAAAAAAGGAGCAGTGACTGTAAAAGCGCGCTTGTTTAATTTTGTACTAAAACGCAGAGCAATAAGGCTTTGGGGGCACTTGCAAGGGGAGTTCATAAAAACAAACCATCTGGGAACAAACAGCTTCTCTGTTTGGTAAAGTCAGGTGATTTCCGAGAATTTATCACCCACACATTATTTCCAGTAGATAGCAGAATAAGTGTACTGTGCAGAGAATTGTTTGTTGTTTATCTGGGTCAGTAAATCTGAGTGTTTGTTATTCTGGAGAGTGACAGAGGTGAGCCGGTAGTGTGCATGTGTGTACCTGGATAAAGGAGGAGGTGGCTGTTCATTTAAAGACCTATCACTGCTCGAGGGGCTCTGTGGTACCTCCAGTCTTTTGTTCTCTTTGTCCGACTCTCCTGAGGGCTGGTACATCGGCCTCTGTGGAAGAACATAAGTTGAAACATATTTTAAAAGTCTTTTTTCCCATTACATATGTGATAATTTCATTAATTTATTTCACTTGGATACTCATTCTACACAATACAGCTTCCATATATAACTAAGCTGACCATGTTTCATGCGTATGTACAATACCATTTGAATAGCAGGAGCAGTAGGTTGCGTTTGTGTGGCCTCCTCGCCCAGCTGTGCCTCCTCCAGCAGCAGTTTGTTGTAGGTCTCCTGTAGTCTCTTTTGCACTGGGGCCACAGGTGCCTCGCTGGGAAGGGCCGCTGCTTTAGCCACTTCTCTTTGCTTCCTGTAGAGCTCCTGCAATCTTTGATTTCTCCTCTCTGCCTCCTCCCTCAGTGCCCTCTTCTCTTCTGCTTGACGCCTCTTCCTCTCCTCTTGTTGCCTAGAAATGTACTGGCGAACAGTGTCTGCATCATAGTGTCGCTTCTTGTGCCCCGTGTCAGCAGCCTCTGATCGGTGTGTGGTGGGGCTGGCGCTTCGGCAGCCTCTTGAGGAGCTACCTGTTGCCGCAGCAGTTCCCCAAACAGAGACTGGAGTCCTTGTACATGACCCCGATCCCCCTCTCCCTCTCCTGCCACTGCTCCCACCCCGGGATCTTTGCCTGGCTCTCTCCTCCCTCTCAACTGATTTGCACTCCAGTTCAAGGTCATCAAGTATCCCCTGGATGTCTGCTGACAACAGGTCCGTGCTAACACCCACTGGGGCCTTCTCCCGATCTGCAGATGAGGGTGTGGATGTGGCTGTGGTGTGGCTTTTGGACTGAAATCCACTATGAGGTCTTTCTGTGCTGCTAGGGCGAGGCTGTGGGTTTGATTGTGAGCGTGGTTGTGAACTGGAACGGTGGCGGGAAGCTGGTGGACATTTACAGAAAGGCAAAATGTTACAGTTAGTAACTAGTAATGGACTTACTAACGTAAGCACAGACTTCATACTAGTGCCCCCTGCTAAACAGTTTCAGTGCCAGTGGTCAGATTGGATTTTTGTGTCCAGACATCACCAACTTATCTGCATGGGTAACAGCATAAGCGTCACTCTGGATCTGGCGCTGTCATTGTGTGATGTGTTCAAAGACAAATCCAATATAAGTGGCCAGGGAGTCCGGACCGTTACGCATCTATTGAAATCCGATTGGCATCGCATTTCAAACCACCTCCAAATGTGGTTTAGATCAGATTTGTAACAAGCGTATTTCATGTGTTTTCTGTCCAGACTTCCTAAAATCAATCTGGATGGAATCTGGATATGCCAAAAAACAATTTGAGCTGGCAGTCTGAACAAGGCCTAAGACCTCTAAGTGGACGCTTGCTGATAAAACACTAAAAATTTTAAATTCCCTTTCACTGTTCATATCTAATAAGAGGTATAGAGTGTGTGCAGTCTTTAAACTCCTTTCCTTCCTTCCTTTAAACTCTTTTCCTCTTTATCTATGACCAACATATTTAATAAACAGGTTTGTCACAGCTAACAAAACACTGGATGCTCTGACCAGTGACTGTAGCAGATTAAAAAAAAATACTCCAAAGCTAAAGCACTAGACACAGACAGAATGCGCATACTAAATGAGGCTCGGGGGTCAGGCTTGCCATGGCAACTCTAATCTCGGCCAAATTGAAAACTCCTATCTCGCTTTTACAGTATCTAATCCAGACAGTGTTTGTTCCAGAACATGGCTGCAGTGAGCTCCTCTCTGCCCCACTCTGCCTTTCCCCAGAGTGCATGCAGCCTGCACAGGGGGCAACCTCTGGAAATCAGGCCATGTCTAATTGTGCACCCAACCAGAACAGCCAGTCAATCTCAATTCCTTCCGGTCAGTGGTACCCAGTACAGATTCAGATAGCAAAGATAGAGATGGATGCAGATAGTGTGTGGGTAAGTGAGAGTGTGAGAGAGAGTCTAAGGCTGGCTGTGTGTACAGCAGCAGCCAAAGACTTTTTATTTATTGATATTCTTTGGCAGGCGCTGCTGCCAGTCTAACTGTGGGTCCCAGACATGCAAAACTAGAGATATTCATTTTACAACACCTTCGTGTTACATGGATATACTCCATTATATGTAATAGCACCAAGTGAAGAAATCCATGCTTAATTTTAAGTGAAAATGAAAGTACTGTAGCAACATTAGAAAACAGATAAAAGTAAAATGAGGAAACAACATGTCTGAGAGATGGGGGAGGGGGAAGGTAGATGGTCAGGAGGAAATCCTAATTCACACTTTGTCTTTTTCTACATGCCACTGGACATAAATAATGCAGAGAAAACATTTTTAACATCAAGCAGGCACATTTTGGGCAGCTATTTAAATGCTAGTGGAAAGCTAATCACCTTATGTCAAGATGAGCAAGACCATAGGAGAAATGATTAGATCAGAGACGACTGTTATCAGCAAGCTAGGTCGGCTGTTGGTATTATGAAATGTAATATAAGATAGGGGTGTAGTGACATGTATAGAAGGGTAAGGGTTTGGGTCTCCAGGTCCCACCTGTTCTGCTCAGTCTGTCAGCTGTCTGTGGTCTGTCCTCCTCCCTGGGCACCTTGGGAACTGGACCCAGTACCATCTTTACCAGCTTTTGGCCCTCCCGCCATGATGCAGGGCTAATCACTGCAGTGACACAGAACATTACCACCTTAGATGCTGCCAGTGAAGAGCAATGCAATTCAATAGTGTTCATGTTGACCTCATGTAACATGAGGCATGTGCTAGCACATGGAGACATGCCAACACTGCAGCAGACTCACTTGAACTTAAAAATACACACATTATAGAAACGGAAGAGACACAAGAAAAGCATATGATAGACAGGGTGCATCACAATAGTAAGACCAATTTAATGGTCATTTAACCCAAACCTAATGATTGGAAGTAAGACATGAGACATGAGGGTCTCGGCTCAGTTTACTTTTTTCAAGTTACTGAAGTTGTTGTGTGGAAGAGGTGATGCAATTTAAGAACACGTTTTTGTAGTTTGCCCAAATTGCCCCCAAATACATTTGCCTCCTTACCCCCAGTAACTATCTGGCAGATAAATTTGTTTTTATTTCACCCAGCTATTCCTACCAATCTCTGCTGTTCAGTTTTCTGCCAGCAGCCCAGTACACTGAGTTTGCATAGAATCACATTTGTGGTGCTCAGAGCTTTGGAAAATTACATTGCAAAACCAGCAATGTCTCTCTACATGGACTAATCACTGGAGCTCTTTTCACTGTGACTGTATTCCACCAAAGAGCAGTTCCTGGTAATGAAGCTGTACATCCACTAACCAAGCAGCTGTTTGTACTGGATGGATGAGTGAACTGAACCTGGCCGCAGATTTCAGAGGGCTATTTATAGCGCTGTGCCAGCACGAAACAGAGACCAGCCAGACTTTAGAGACAGCACAAAAGTTGGAGGATCCCAAGCACAGAGTGAATGAGAGGCAGAGTGCAGGAGAAAGATATTTTTGCAGTTAGCTTTCAGGATATCTATCAGGATAAGTACTGTACTGCTACTACTTCAACTGTCTCTGCATTGACACTGAATCATTCACTGGGACGATCATGCCAAACTGACATTATAACGGTATCTTTCCTTGTGTCCAGGTCCACACAGACAGAAAGATGAAAATAGCCATCACTCGCGTTTACATATGTGCCTTTGAAACCATCTTTGTGAATGGGGAGGGGGTACTTTTCTCAGCTGTTAGAGGTCTCCTATGCAATGGGTACAGCGGTATGATTCTTCTATGTGGGTGTTTGTATGTTACACAAACTGCATGTCAATCATACTGAACATTTCTACAGGGATTAGAATCTTAACACAGCTTTAGAAGCCAGCTATGTCTCTGGTTCATGTACTAGAACACACACAGGCTTGGTATGGAACAAGTGAGCAGATGGAAAGAGGACACTGAATATTATAGCCCGAGTGCTGGTTTCTACTGCCTGTTTAAGGAATTTAGTAACGTATTTTTACTATTATTATCTTTACCCACTGACTGCTTTTATTTGATGTTTAGCCTGCATGTCAGCACTGTATCAGACCGTACCACTCTCACTGTGTATACAATTGCTAAAACACATGCATTACGAATTAATTACTGAACTAACATCAGTGAGAGTCTGTGTGCAGAGCAAAATCTATGCAAAAATGAACAGGGGACTAAAGACAGATATTAAATATAGAATAAAGCAGACTTTTAAAGGCAGAGACACCGGAGTAGCAAATCCAGTTGATAAAAACCTTTTAAGCACATTGATAGTTCAACATTTGAGGCTCTTGGTTTCGGACCACATGCACTGACCCATGATAAAATCCTGTCAGACTGTTCCACATGCTTAGCTTCCCAACTGTCACTAATTAAAAATAGATCAGAGTGTGGGTTGGCCCTCTTACATTAAAAAAAAAAAAAAGGATTACTATACCTGGTTTTGCATTTAGTTCAGAGGAAGGGGCAGCTCTGTGCACCTTCCTAACTGGTTTGGGAGGCCTCCTCTCTCTGGACCTGTCTGCTCTCTGTTCCCTCTGCTGTTGATGTCTGGATCTAGTGCTCTCTGTACACAGATGACACACATAGAGAATAAGCCACAAACACCATAGACTGACAAACATTTCTAAATTGAATCAAAAGGTGTCAGCTGACTCAAAAACAAAGCCTGTGTCTGGAGAAATAAAATCTCTGATGTCATTAACCAAAGACTATGAGCATAATCCATGTTTGTTTATGCAAACATCCTCGATAGAAAACAGCTGCTACAATTAGTTTTTTTGGCGCCTCTGACAGATCAATACAACTCCAAGCCATGCATTGATGTGCAATGCAGTTTTTCAGGCAGCTCTCTATATTTAATACTAGAGGGCATCATAACCTGGATTAAAGCCCAGGAACATACAAGGACGCAAGCATGTCAGAGATCACCCATCACCTCAGTTCAGGATAACAGTAACAAGCAAAACCAAATAAAGTATCTTTATATCATTACCATATCAGAAAATATTGCAAACATGGAATGATAGCAACAAAAACAAATGTTTGTGTCCAAAGCATACCAGCAAATTGTCGTGACAGGTCTCTGTATATTTCCCTGCTGAGGTTGTGAAACTCCTCCTCCTTCCAAACTTTCCCATCAGGTGTGCGGATCTTTGTCTCAGTACTGTTAAAACCTGAGAGTAGAAGGATTGAAGAGCTAAGTTGTGGCATCCTGATTCCTTCACATATTATTATCGCTACATAACAAAAAGTCAAATAAATGACAAAGTACACATTTTGGATACCTCTGTATATTGGTGCAGGCGGTGCCGCTGCTACTTTCCGTATTTTGGCTGTGGGCATGTTGCTAGTACCAGAATTGCTATTTCCCACAGCTGCCATAACGGGCTGTTCCAGAAAACCCAGCAGCTTCTCTCTCTCCGCAGCCTCCTCCAAATGTTGTCTCTGCCTTCGAATACGCTCTTTGAGCTTCTCCAGCTTATCATCAGGCTGATGACGCCTTAGGTTCTCCAACCGCTGGGAAGCTGAGCCAGGGCTGGTTGAAGGAGTGCTCTCCCCTCTGCGTACGGAGCCTGGGGTTGTAGCTAGACATGGGTTCGACTCCTGGCCTTCCATGCCAACTTGTGCTTTTGGAGAGCTTTCCTCCTCAGCCCGCTCCAATGCAGGGACTCTTACACCTGTGAGTTGTGACTGGTTTTCAACAGTCCTCAGGGTGTCCAGGGCTGGCTGGTCATTGAGGTAGCGAACCTCGGTGCTCTCCAGAGCCGAGGAGTGTGTGCTGTCCAGGTCCCTGTCCGTCTGTTTGTCCCTGGTGTCTCTCTGGTAGACCAGCTGGCTGAGCAGCGGATCTGAGGGAGGTGGAGAGGATGGGTATGAAGACCCTGGCACTGACTGCAGGCTGTAGGCCTCCAGCTGAGAGGAGGGACGTGGTGGAGGGGTGGCCTCTCTGGAAAAAAAAGAGATTACATGGGATCAAGAAGGGGATCAAGATTTACTCTTAATTTACCACTCACTGAGGGTACAGAACAGTACATGTATGGGTGGTCAAAGGGTAAAAAGGGATGGAGTGACATATTCACTCAAGACATCACTTTAGTTCAGTGAGGATAGCTACTGTATTAAAAATGTACAACAATAATGATTCTGGTGCACTTCTACTGTGCTCACTGGCTGACATGATTGCAGAAAAAGAATACTGGTCTGTCTCTTCAGGATAATATCAAAAAGTGATCAGAATATCATATGCTATTGTGTGAATTTGCTAGTAATAGCCAAACAGAAACAGAAACTTCAGACAGTTCATTTCAAAGACTTGTTTTGGTTAAACCTGCAAGACCTGATGTTTTGGCAACTTGGGAGCAGCTGAAACAAGTTGTGAACACAACATTGACATATAATCACCTTTTACACCCATAAGACAAATTTATCGGCAAACAGTTGCTTTTTTATGCATGCAGCAAACCCAGAGGAACATTATCATTCATTTGCTGTGTTGAGTCATGTTTGTGTACACATGGCGAATATAAGTCCAATATTCATTCTCCTTTAGTTCTGTATTTGTTCTCCAACAACGTTTGAGAACATATTCACATTTGAAATCCAGTCATTCTGTTGCAATGAGTGACAATACTAAGGACAAAACTTCAGGTTTTGTGGTATCACTGGAAACTGCAGTCTTGAGCTACTGAAGTGTTTGCGATCCATTCAGCTACAAGCTACTCAGTCAATGTCAAGAACATATGGTCTGTGAATGGAAATGTTGAAGAGTACAGAGCATTGGGGACTGACTGTTATTTAGATGGAAGAGCTCTCCTGATGTATCAAGGTTAAACAATGAGCCGACACAATAACTATAATGAAAATGTCACAGCCCAGGTGGGAACAAACACCATCTTGTTCTGTAGTCACTCTACACAGCACACACACTTTATAGTAGACTAGATTTGGTGTCACTTTAATACAATTTAAAATTGTAATATTGATAGGATTATGTTGGTAAGCATGTGCAATAAAGGAATTATGCTTCCAGGTAGAGTTTAAGTTTTGTGTTTTGTGTAAGATTTAAAAAACAATCACCAATGTGATGTGATCAGTGCTGGAAAGCATTAACCACAGATGACCAGTCCTGAATATGAAAGCATAGCCCTCTATCCAAATACAGCAATGTACCTAGAGAGTGGTGGATAAGGATCTTTTATTAGTGAGTTTTAATGCAGTAGTTGTACCTGTAAGAGGCCAGTGGTTCCCTGAACTCCACGCTGTTGTTCCTACGGACGTTGCTGTCCTGGGTGGTATTTCTTAATGGGCTGCGTGAGCTGCTCTTTTCTGGACTCTGCTGACTTCGGCCTCTGCGTTTTGAAGGCCTTCCACTGTCGTCAGCTTGTTGTCCATCTTTGCAAGAGACAGCAATGTTAAAATAGTTATAGTTTAAGGGTAGAATTTAACTAACTGTAATGGCATTTTGAAATAACTTACCCCTGCAGCGCACTGTCTTGGAGGATTTCTTCTTGGGAGGGTCCATGACAGAGTCCAGGAGAACCCCTGTCCCTGGAACTGCCTCTAAACGGTTTTCTATATGCCGCAACTACAGAGAGAGAATACACATCAGACTCCTTTTGGTATGCAAAGGTGAAAGGGAGTCATCTTCATCATGATTAGATACTGCAGACTGTGTTTTATTACTTTAATGAAATGGCAATTCTTTCTGAGAGGCTGACAAACACACAAAGTCCTTCAGCACAAAACTGTTCCAGGTGTACTTACAGCAGCTTTGGACTGAGACAAGCTTTTCCATGTAGTTGTCAGCTCTGACAAAGAGAAACAGAATACAAGTCATTACAGGTGATAACATCTGGCTATGTAAATGATACTTATGACACATTTACATTATGAGATTCAGAATTCAAATGAAGTTATGTGAGAACACTATACCCACTGAGAATAGACATGAATATAATTGGACTGCATTTTTATTTTATTTTTTTACACACCTGTGCCAATATTGTGATCTGTAAGCTGCTGAGCAGAGCTTTTAAGAGACGCCTCAGTCCTCCTGCTACTCCTCATCTCTCTCATTCACCTGACGCCAAGATTAGACAGAAGCAAATAATTAAAAAGAACAACACTGAGTGACGGTAGACGTGACATGAATAACATCAACACACACAACACCATTAAAAGTATTGAACGCTTATACCACATACCATATGGACAACCTGGAGACAAAAGCAGTTGCTTTTAACCAGGCAGATAAAAACATAAATGATAACAAACTAAAACAAGGAATAATACACAAATATAAAACACATCAAGCACTTTAAAAAAAAAACAAAAAAAACAAAATGCCACAGACAGAAACAAGCTTTAGGGGCAACAGCCTAGATGGCGAGCTGTTATCCATGCCTGCCAAGTGAACAAATTAAAGTACGTCATAAATACTATGCGTATAGCCCAATCAGTTCCTTGTATAACACATGTAACTAGTATGACAGCTTGCTGACAGCAGATTAATGTCAGTCTGCCATTTAAAACCAGTTACACAACAGCACATTCCTCACATGTTTTCCATGTGGGAGGGTGAGCAGAACTGAAGTTCGTCACATGTCGACCACGTAATGTTTACTTAAAACACCTGTTTAGCTAGAGTGCAGGTGTCTTGTTTTACTTATGCACTACTCTCACAAACACTTGTGTGCTGATTAGGAAACCCTCTTCATGAGACAACTGTGGGTTAAACTGTCCATATCTTTATCACTTTAATCAGTTAATTGTATCCATGTATGTATATATAAGCAAGTGTAGCCAAGTTAGTCTGTTCACTGTGTGTTTTTAACACATATTTAACACCCTGTGAGTCACAAGTTGCTCTTCATAAGTCATGCCTTTTACTCATAACAATCACGTGACGCATCGCTGAGACGATCACCTCAGGCTGAGAGGGCAAACAGGAAGATAAAGAAAGTGATACATACTTCTACAACAACAGCATTTCCTTGTAACAGTCTTCCCGATTACAATATGGCCACACACCGATGACCGTGATTATAAACTCAAATTAACAATGCAGACCGCATGAACTAAATTAGTTGAACGACATTAGTTTTACTAACCCAGACTACGGAGAGCAGTCCGTGTCTTTCCTGGTATCTGAATCCAGATGGGACAGAATCCAAAACGTATGATAGAAGAGCCAAGAGCGGCTAAAATGACATAGTGGTGGACTGTGCGTAACGTTAGTAAATTCATGCAAGGAAGTAACGTTTCCAGCCTGTCATCTTGACTATAAGGATTAGCTGACGTTAGCTACTTTTGTCAGAAGTTGTGACTTGAAATGAAAAGTGCACACGCAAGCATTACTCGAAACACTTCTCTATTCAACGCAAACGTAACGCTGGGAATTACCGTTAATAAGACAAACTCAATACCCCCAAACAAGCCAGTTGGCTCAGGTTAACAATCAAATGTCTACAAACGGCAAGCTTGATCAATGACTTAAGCGCCGTATATTAGTCCTGTATTGCTGTCATAGTGAATGCATCCAATTTTGCCATTTAGAGCTCATATAGTTCGTTGACGATCGTATTTTGACATTGTAGACACATAAGATGGAAGGTGAAACTATTAGCGACCTATCAGGAAAAGAAAACAACAATGTCCGGCGATTTTAAGTGAGTAATACACAACTTTGTCGTGAGAGTGCGGGTGATTTCCATTAAAGCAAATACGATCCATGTGAATCCAACATGGCGCATAATTTCTTCTTCGCACACCAACTGAAGCGTCGCTCAGCAGTATCGGCTCCGTGCTGCCACCTATGGGTGCGCGCCACATTACAAAAATACTGTTGACGGCACATAGACTGTTGCAATACAGCTTCCGACCACTACTGTCATCATTGTGCAAAATGTTGCTTGGCAGCACCCCAGCTTTCAGCGAGGAAGAAATAATGAGCCATCTTTGACTTTTCATGGTTTGTATTGACTTTAACTACAATCACCCTCACTGCATCGCGGTAAATCGTATTTTTATCTCTTTACATCCACCTAGCATTGCCCTTTTGGCCGCGGATAGGTCGCTGAGAAGTCTACCTTCCATTCAGCAACTTCAATATTATTTTGTAAAACACCGAGAGCCTTAAATAGGTGGGCTCACACTTATCCTACTTCTGAACCCGAACAAGGTATAGTCAAACGCTAGCTGTCGTCTGTGTTAACGACAGCGCTTTTATTGTTGAATATAATAAATTACAGCAACACTAAATGAAACAGAAGTTAATGATCATCCAATTCCCCAAGTTACAATCGAGAAATCACCTGTTTAACGGCTACTACTCAAACACCGAGTCCGGGAATTACTCATCCGCGAACTCAACACAATCCATCATTAATCTACTTTCGGGTGTGAATTTACAGCCGGGGTATTAATGTTTTATTTAAAAACCTGATACTAATTAACACAACCTCTGTTTTTCAATAACCCTGATTGATTTTCTAATACAATCGCTGTACGTCCAAAAAGTATCCCTACAACTCACTATAACATCTGACTTCCAAGATGACTTATTTCGAAATGTGTTCGGTCCAGGGAATAGTCGGAGCCGCTAACTCGAGAGTTGACGTTAACGCTAGCTGACAGGAAAGTCATGTATTAACTTAGCCGATAACCTCTTTGGAGAGACATAACACATACCTTTAGGGAAACGATCCAACGTGTCTAGATGTCCACATTCATGCCGATGTCCTCATTATAAGAAAAACCTAACTTCTCCAGACTTCTTCCTCAGTTTGGTTCAGCTGTCTGTTTGCTAACGTTAGCGTTAGCCAGCTAACGTTAGCAAACCAATGTTAGCTAGCAGTTGTGCCAACTAAGCTAGCAACTTTTTCTAGCGACATGCACCCATTGTTATTGTCTCGGTGTTTGTCCAGGTAACCAAATATCCAGGTCAGCTGTGAGATTCCTAGAAAGAAATGTCGCTACCCGCCTCTGAGGTCGCCTTTCCCGGGTTACTATGTTGATGTTTCCCAACAGTGAAACTGGGGTATCCAAGACGGGTAGATAACCGAGAGACCGAAGTATCGCGAGCGTTGGATGACGTCAAACGTTAGGAAAGCCCCACCCCGCAGGCACAGACGAACACACACACACACACGCACACACGCGTTTTTTCGTTACTTTTCGTTCCACAATTAATGAATACATAAGGGGAATATATATA